TCTAAGTAATTCACGTAAACTGATAGGATCCGGAATATATGTCCGTGAGGATCTCAGTCTAGTTGATCGTATTAAGAGACGAGCTGCAGAAGCGGAAATAAATGAACGTCGCCAAAACGGGGAACGAAACCTTGTTCTTAAGGGTTTTCAAGTTGTAAAAGTTCGGAGCAAAACAATCCCCAAGCCACTCTGGGTGGCAAGGGAAAGTTCTCCACAGACTTAAAGGTATGCTACACAAATCCTCGCAGCCTACTAAATAAAATGGCGGAGCTCAAGTCAGTGGTGGATAAAGAAAAACCGGATGTTATTGCTGTCTCGGAAACTTGGTTAACGTCAGAAGTTTTAGATAGTGAAATCCAATTGACCGGTTTCTTAACCAGTAGAGCTGATAGATAAAACCGAAGGGGAAGCGGGGTTATTCTTTACACGAAAATTTCCCTAACCATAAGATTAATAGAGACAGTAGCACATATTTCAGGGACATGTGAACTGGTGAGATGTAAGTTGAAATGCCGAAGGCAAGATATTGAAGTAGTTGTAGTATATCGCAGTCCAGAATGTGTAGCAGATGATTTTATCCTAAGTAAACTTAAGTCCTGGTGTAACAACGGTAAAAGTCTTGTAGTAGGTGACTTTAATGCACCACATATAAACTGGGTTAACTTAGAATTAGGGTCATCCATATCGTCGTTCGACCGCAAACTGTTATAAACCCCGATTGGATTAGCATTATTCCAACACATTAGAGATCCCACAAGATACGACTTAAGAAATTCTTCCTCTCTTTTAGATTTGGTTTTCACACACGGTGATGACGTTGGTCAAATGGCTTTTCTCCCACCACTTGGGAGAAGTGACCATGCAGTCATCTTATTCAAATTCATGGCTGAGATTGCCTGCCAAACAGTTGCGCCGGCCCGTCCCAACATATAGAAGGCAGATATGCAGGCAAATAACTCCGCAGCATCGGCTGAAAACTGAGAAATTGACTCAAAGGCATCAGTACAAGAGGCATGGACTCTATTCAGGCAGTTATACAATGGGGTAACTCAACCATACATACCCTGAACTGTCCCGAAAAAAGAAGCACGGACATCCCTGGATAGGGCGGGATGTTCGACGTTTACTAAGACAAAAGAAGAAATGCTGGGACGTTGCCATCCGTCTTGGCACAGCAGGTACGATGGAACGCTACAGATCGACAAGAAACGAGTGTATAACTAAAATTCGGGAAGCGCAAAGAAAATATGAAATGCAGCTGGCACAATCTGCACTCAAGCAGCCCAAGAAAATATTCTCCTACATAAACTACAGAACAAGGATTCATCACTGGATTCCCAACCTAATTAAAGTAGGAAGTGAATCTGAAATTATGGAGGAAGATCAAGAAAAAGCAGAGGCTATGGCTGACTATTTTGAGGCAGTTTTCACTCAGGAACCTCCTCTAGAGAAAAAACCAGACCGAAATATAGAGTCAACAAACCAGCTGCTCACCGTGGACTTCGACCAAAACGATGTGCTTAAGGCTCTTAGCGCCCTAACCATGAAGAGGTCTACAGGACCAGATGAACTACACCCCAAAATTTTGAGACATATTGCCCAATATATCGCGGCCCCACTGACTGTGATATTCAATATGTCACTTGACCAAGGTGTGTTACCTATGGACTGGAAGGATGCAATCGTCACTCCCATACATAAGACAAGTCCACGACAAGTTCCATCGAATTACATACCCGTAAGCCTCACCAGTGTTGTAATTAAAATACTGGAAAGAATAATCAAACGGACCATAACGGCATTTATGGAAACCAATAACTTGCTGAACATGGCACAACATGGTTTTAGAAAGGGTCTATCCTGTACAACGAACCTCCTTATAGCAAGGGAATTCTGGATTAATGCGCTAGACAACGGAAACTCAGAGGATGTTGTCTACATAGATTTCAGTAAGGCTTTTGACAAAGTGCCGACTAACAGACTGCAATTGAAGTTGGAAAACCTTGGTATTGCCGGACCTCTTTCAAAGTGGATTAAGGATTTCCTAGTATGTCGTAGACAAAAAGTAAGAATAAATTCCAAGTGCTCCATCTGGAGACCAGTACTTAGTGGAGTACCCCAAGATTCCGTCCTAGGTCCTTTAATTTTTATAATTTATGTAAAAATTTGGCGAGTAATAACTGGAGACAAAGAGGCATTTACTCTTCAGGCAGACTTAAATAATATGATAAACTGGTCTAAAGTGTGGCTGATGACTATCAACGCGGAAAAGTGTGTCTGCATGCATTTGGGGGATTCAAAGGTTAATAAGTACAACATAGGGGATGTATCATTACCCGCAGTCCGGTCCCATAAGGATCTAAGGATGACAGTGAGTCATGATCTTAATACGACGGCCCATTGCCGGGAAGTCGCAGTCATGGGCTTTCGAACCCTCTGGGCTTTAAAAAGGACATTCACTAAGTTAGATACTACCATGTTCACCACAGTGTACACATCCTTAGTGAAAACTAAGCTAGAGAACTGCGCTCGTGCTGTAAGCCCCTGTTTAAAAGGTGACTCGGGCATACTAGAAAAGGTACAGAGGGCAGCTACGCGTGCAATTCCGGAACTCCGGGGTTTATCATATAAAGAGCGGCTTGAAAAACTGAACCTCTCTACTCCGTCCTATCGCAGACTAAGGGGAGATCTAATATTGATGTACAGAATACTAAGAAATGATTTCGGACCTAACTTATACTCTCTCTTTCTTCCCACTACATCAGGACACCTTAGAGGACATAGCAGGCGAGTAGAAAAGCCAAAAACGAACAGAATACCCGTGGCATACAGATTATCACACCGCGTCATCAATACTTGGAACCTGCTGCCTGAAGCAGTGGTGTCCGCACCTTTAAATGACTCTTTCAAGAGAAGACTGGACACTCACAAAAGCATACCAGAAAAGGAATAGCATAGGCCATAGGCCTTCTGTCCTTACTACACAGATCTGAATCTGAATTTGAAAATTTAAATGACTGGATATCAATAAAAACGCTGAGTTATTTGAGAATCGTATGAAGATTCAATAACACTTCCACCCCTGGATAAATCACGGCAATTTATTTCCACTGAAACAGAATGAGAAAACGTGATCCTTCTTGATGCAACAAGAGCAAAGGGTTTTATAAATCAATTGGAACTAATGTATCAATACGATCCGTGTCGTTTGACGGTAATAAGAAAATTAACTTGCAAAAATTGCAGTCAACCTTCAAAGGATACCATTGTATGTACCGAATATGCAGAACAGGTGAAAATTCATGATTCGCCACTTCAATTACAGAACAGTGTATCTTAGATCATAGAGGAAGACTAGGTAAATCAAAATTCATAATCATGTTTTCTCGCAAACCACTATAGACAGGAGCAATTTTATAAATTCGGCTTCCTCAGGTGGACCTGTAGTGTCTGTTATTATGTTAAGCCCATATACCTTATTCTAGCTTTCGGATAGCCCATTCTATCCATCCTACTTGAGTCACATTCTGACCTTGCTAATTATTCGCTTGTCAATCTTGACCGTTTTTATATGAGCGCGTAGGTGTGTGTACACTTCCTATCCCATCTTTCATCACATGTCTGTAACTTATTTTTGTATAACTGTAAATATTGATTAACGCCTGACCAAAGGGGAGTTGGCTTACCCGTCATCTTCACTGCGTGTCGTTTCGCTTCTCTCTGTTCTATTCGCTGCATATACAAAATATATGTATTCACAAGTCCATTCTCATTATTTGACTTATTTAATCCCGTTATTGACTAACGCGATTTATATACGACGATAGGCGATAACAAACATTCATAGGATCTAATTGCAGTCAGATCCACATGCAACTAAAGTGGAGAGCCCGTCAACAAACATCGTTCGATCTAAACGATGACAAAATAAAGAGCCCCACAAAAGACCTGATTCTTGAAGACACCCTAACAACTCTAAGCTTTCAAGGTACGGAGCAAACAACAAGGACAGGAGAGGCACATACCCGACTGTTGAAACAACTTTTTATACGCACTACTACCTCTAAGGAGTTTCGCAACCAAGGCAGGGCTGGAAATAGAGAATCTTTACTTCAAGTTAGAAAACAGGGTTGAGGTAGCACACAATGAACTACTGACCAGTTGGCCTTAAGAATTTTGCAGTATACGTACTATAAAGTATAATCAAAAGGACGATTACAAATCCCACAATTAATTTATAACTTGTTTCATGGTGAACAACATAGTGTTGGGAAAGTGTTTTTCATGTACAACATATTTCCCATTCGTGAGAGATAGCCGGACTGAGCCTTTGGGTAATAGAAAACTAGTAGATGCTATGTACGTTGATTTAAGCAAGACTTCTATTAACGTTCCACACAAGCATCTGTTGAAGATCTGAAACTCAATCTCCGAAAGGTGCATGAGTGGATTAGAAACTAGCTAACTGGTTGCCGGCATGAGTAATGCGAAAATTCAAAATTTTCTCATGGAAATCAGTAATTAGTGAACTACTATAGGGCTTCATACTATGTCTCTTGCCATTGACTTTCTGTATCAATACGTATCCGAGTGTTGACAGGTCTCCTATTCCTTAAAGCGATGACTTCGAAGTATGACGAAGAGTAACAGAGAACATCATATCAAGCCGATCCGAGTTATAGCTAATCAATACAACTGAGTGTATTTCCGAGAACTATGTTGCCCATTCACCAAGTTAGACGCAAACAGGTTTACAGTGGTACTCATAGTTATAGAAATATTCAAACTACAAAAGTATATTAAGGCTCCAGGCATTTGTTCAGTGAATGTCTAGGGTATATTGGAAGATAGTTACCTGGACGGTTTCAGAATTCCTGGGCTTATCATTCATAGTGAGTCTCGAAAACATAGATGGACTGAGAGCTTATTTATAAACGTTCTAAAAGGGAGAGGACATGCCAGTTTATTATAATGATTGGAAAAGATATCTCCCGCTTCGAGTGATTTGTTAAGCTTAACCGTGCTATTGGCGGTCTCACTGCAGAGCTAATTTTTGAATTGTGGGTTTTGTTGTTTTTGCATCCGTTATGATTTATATCGTTTTTGGCTTTATATGAATTATCTACAGCGTCGAAATATAGTAGACAAAGTAATTGTAGTACTTAACTTAGCATTTACTCATTCACCAGACCTGATAACATGTATAAAGCTAAGGCTTAGGTTGAAACTATAAAGGACATCGTCAGAATATTTAGCAGCTTTATCTCGGAGGTAGTTCAAGTGCTCAAGCTTCGATTTAAAGCGTTTTGTATAATTAGAACTGACTTCAGAAAATCAAGGTAACAAGTATTCAATAAATTTTAAAGTTCCATCGTAAATCATTGGGTTGTTTTGTGTGTATAGATAATCGAATCTGCTTCATCATGGACAAGATATCTTACCGATTTTTTAGTATATATGCGGTAAAAAATTCAGGTAGTACGTCTTAGAAGGTTTTTGAATTTTCTGTATACTGATTTTTGTCCGCAATTCAGCCATTATTAAAATATATTCACCGAATGACTAAGTATCAAATTATCCAGTCATCACAACCTTCTAGTGGTGTTTGGAAACAAGGCTTACACTTTTTAATGCGAGTCATTCCATATACAACACTTTATTCGAAGTCTCACTACGACCTGGTTTCGCAACTAGTAAAGCGGGCATCAATTAATACCTATAAACCAAGGTTTTATAAACAGTTTATTACCTTCATGGTTAAGATTTATGAAACGTCCCGAGAATCTATCCGTCCATTTCTGTTTCACGGTTAGGAACAAGCTACTATAACCATCTAAAGTAAGTATAAAGATGACTGCTACGCAAAATGTCGTTTGTGATTAGATGAAAACTATCTCGGCGACGACCTTTGAGCGAATCCTAGATGACCTTGACAATTATTAGCCAATCAGAAGACAGTATAAAGTGAAAATATATTGTAAGCAATGAGTTACAGTGGATATTCTTCTTTTACATAATTTAAAAACTTGTTAAGGTTTGATAAAGGTTCAGAGGCTCTGAATTCATAATGCATATGGTATAGAAACTCGTCCATATGGTTACTGGTTAGGGTTAAGGTTAGAGTGCTAACATGCGATCAGTTTACAACGGATTTTAGAGGTCAGGGTAAGGGTTATGGTTAGGGTCAGGGTTGGGGTTGTAGCCTGTCAAGAAACACCTCTTCTCTAAAATCCGATGTAAACCGATCACATCGACGAATCAAGACTTCACGTGATTGATACCAAAGGAGTTGAAATGAAAGATTGGCTTTGAGAAGCTTAAATCTCAGCGAATCGATTAGAACAGTCATTAGTAATAGACTTGCTTGTTGACTGTTTATAATGGAATCCTTTAGCCATTACATTAACTGCCTCTGTGGAAGCCATATACAGTTGAAGATACGGTATACCGTTAGTCAAACGGTGTAGATATGAGCCCAAACATGTTTAAACCTATAGTTGTTACACTCCATAATACCAAAAGAAAAAAATCCACCAGGTAAAAAGTAGTTTTTCTGCATGAGACCATACAGACATGCTGTGCTTCGTAGTTTCCATCCGATCTAATATTTGCGATTTTATTATTTATTTATTTATTTGAACACACATTGATACAAGAGGGCACCAAATATATATGCGCCACACAAAACAGTGGGAATTTGAAGAGAAGGAAAAAAGGTGAGGAGCGTAAAAAACAAGAGAATAATAACGAACAGATTGGTGTAAGGTAGCGTAATAATAATAATGGGGAAAACGAAAAGGTACCATCAAAAGAAATCCTTCAGCTTAGGAAGAATCAACCACTTTTTATGAAGAAAGTAAAAGGTTACAGCAGGATCGCCACTGGCTTCTATTCTGGGCCATATCTGATAATGTCTCTAGCCACTGTGTTGCACCATCTCTCGGACCTCAGCCAGGGAGTCGTGGAGGACCAACACAAGCCAGCCCTTTGCAGATTTCTTTCATACCACGACACCATGTCATACACTGACCACCTCTCCACCTTTTCCAACCACACTTAGCGTCGTCAAATAATGCACCGACGCGTTGTAGATCCGACGTTTTACAGCCAGACTAGCATAACGAAGGCGCCGAAGGTGGCCCAGATTGGCATAAGCCGCTCTGGCTTTCATTATACGTGAATCGGTCTCATCACTAACGCCACCACCAGCACTTATGCAGATCCACACCGCTATTACTTACATCCATCAGAACTGTTTCCAGAATGTCATCGAAGGCAAAGTTGAAGAGGAATGGTGAGATTGTGCAACCCTGTCCAACCCCACTGCTCGAATGGAACAATGGAGAGAGGTTGGAGTTGGAGTTCCTTGCGGACTTCCTCCTCATTTGGTGGATCAGTCGTCACCGGCCATGGAGGGCAGGACAGTCTGACCGATGTTGCCGGAGCAGAAGGCCAGTTGAACTGCCCTTCGAAAAATTCTGCCCATCGTCCAAGACGTCGATGAATATTAGTGATTGGCATCCCGTCATCCTCGCAGATTGTTTCACTCACACCAGACTTCTTGCTGCCAGTGGCTCGGATGAGCTGGAAGAGCTTCCGGTAGTTACCAGATGCAACTGCTGCTTCCAGCTCATTAGCACGCTCCGACCACCAGGCTTCTCGGTCCTTACGCAAGCCTTGCCCGATTTCATTACGTAACATCCTTCGTTTGTGGTCAAACTCACGGTCACCCGGAGTAGACCGACGGGCTTCAATGAGTTGTAAGGAACCTGCAGAAACACAGTGCTTAAAAGCGGGACGTTTCGCAAACCCACAACTGACTGTTCCCGCCATTTTCATGGCGTCATGCAATTGCAACCAATGCTCATCTATACTTTTCGGTGGAGTGGTAGCTAGCCTAGAGGCTAGCTCGGTTCGATACTTACTTGCAACAGAAGTTGCAACCAGCTTGCTAACATCAATCCGTTGTTGGCGGTCACTTCGTTGGCCACTGAAAAGTAAGATAAGATTGGCGCAGACCAGGTCATGATCAGAGTCCAGATAGGTACTCCAAAAGGAGCGGCAGTCTTGTACACAACCACGCCAGCGGTAGCTGATTGCGATGTGATCAATCTGAGTCCAGGCCTGAGATGCAGAGGGAGGACGCCAGGTGGCACATCGGCGATGACTGTGCCGAAAGTTAGTGCTAGCCAGAAACAGGTTGTGGTCTGTGCACAGTTGCAGTAGACGGTCCCCGTCCCCGTTATCTGACCTGCGACCAACGAGTCCCCATCGGCCACCTAAACGACTCTCTTCTGTGCCTAGACGCCCGACCTGAGTATTCAAGTCCTCGGCTAATATTACAATATCTGTCGAACGCACTTTCTGGAGAAGAACAGATAACTGGTGGTAAAACTCATCATTGATTGCATCCGGGCTGCAATCTGTCGGGGCATAGGCGGAGATGACGAAAAGACATCGTTTCTCACGCCGATTTCTTCTCACTTTGATGGAATTTTCTAATCTAACAGCAAATAACCGACTGTTAATGGGGATCCAATCGACTAGTGCTGCCTCAGCTCTAGCGCTTAGTGCGACACCAACGCCAGCAAGACCAGACGAAGATGCCACAGGGTCCCTGGATAAACTCAGGTGATGAAACAAGCCTTTTGAAGCGACAGATGGAGAGCGAATTTGTAGTACTTCACCAGAGTCTTGAATATGGGTCTCGGATGGACAGCAAACGTCTATATTAAGACTTTCCAAAGACCTATCTGTTGTCCGACCTGCATAAGTGTGCGAACGTTGAAGGCAGCCAGTTAGAATGGTGCACGTGGTTTCAGAAAAACTGCTTCAGTACTCGTATTCAGTGGTAGCATACAACTTTCAACCAGGCAGTGACTCGAGAACGTTCAGATAGAGCCGAATTTCCACCACAGGCGACCTACTGTATAAGTCGAAAGATAAGTATACAGAGTGGGTATAAAAGAGAGTGAATAAATGACGTAGTAAATAATAATAGTAATAATAATAATGTCAGTCATTTGATTGTTATTCGGAGCAAGAAGAATATTTTCCATAAATAGAGTTCATCATTGCATCCAAGCACTTGTCGAATAGTAAAGGACTTGCTCATCTCTTTTGGAGTCCCATAGGTGCTGTATGCCTTAGTCCAGTATCCTGGACGCAACTGGTAGCAGACTTTTGCTCCACTGTTTGCCACACACATTGCACTTTTCAGAGTTGGTTACGACCTTCTTTATTCCAGATTGTCATTCCTTCATGTATTTTTTTTAAGTAACCTAGTTGGCTCCGTAGTCAAAAATTCACCCTTATCCTGAAGGGAGGTCGCAATAAAGTACTAACCCAATCAACTAAGTCACAAGCGATGGGTAAGTAAGCAGATAAAATATAGCTCAGTATTCAAGTACGGATCTGATAAGTGATCTTTAATGCAGTCTTCAGTAATAAGGATAGTAGCTTAATGAATCTGTGTTAATCCTGACAGATTACCTTCCAGTGAAGGTCCAGCTTCTCCTTGAAAATATTCAAATATGGGGCTGATACCACTTGTTCGGATAAGGCGTTCCAGTCATTGACTGCTCAATGAGAAAAACGGGACCCCACTTTAAGTTTATTAGATCACGGTTTATGAACCTTCTTCCTATGACCTCGGAGATTATTAGTGCTGGACGGAGCAAAAAGATAAGACATATTAACACCCAAATAATAATTAAAGATACGAAATGCCAGTATTAGGTTACCTCGCGTCCTACGACACGACAAGGGGAAAAGGTTTAGGCGTTTTAAACGCTCATCGTAAGGGAGTTTAGAAAGACCCTCCACTAATTTCGTTCCCACACGCTGACACGCTCAAGTGAGTTAGTATCCTTTACCAGACATGAGCTAGCTGCTTGGACACAGTACTTGGATGCAGTACTCTAAATATGGTCTTACGTAGGTGGGATATAAAATTCGAAACATTTCCTCGTCAAAGCATTTAAATGCTCAACAAAGTGACCTTTGACAGCGGCTGCGCTGCAATGTGTAGTTGTTCTTAAGTCATGACTTATTATTACTCCTAAGTCTTTATGCTCTTGAACGCATGGAAGAGGTTTACCATCAATAGTATACTTGTAACTATTACCGAGACCGATGTGCATTAGCACACTCTTCTTAGAATTGATTTCTAAGCCCCAACATCGAGCCCATCTAACTAAACCGTTAAAGTCAGCTTGAAGATCCAGATGATCAGCCCCAATTTTTATTGCTCCGCAGATTTTTACGTCATCCACAAACAATACTGTCGACGACCTAAGCAACAGCGGTAACTCATTAACGTAGAGAAGAAAGAGCAGAGGGCCTAAGATGGTGCCTTGGAGTACACCACTTTTGACCGGCTTCCAATCGGATAGCGTCCCATCGGCCCTTTTTCTCTGTTTGCGGTCACATAAGAAGTTACCTATCCACTCCTGTACAGTACCTATTATTTCGAAGCTCGTGAGCTTCTGCATAAGACCTACGTGTGAAACCTTGTCAAATGCTTTGCTAAAATCTATGAATATCACATCGACAGACAGGTATCTATCTAAGGCTGCTGTTCAATCCTCTCTCGCAATAAGTAAGTTAGTCAAACATGAACGCTTGTTACGAAACCCATGTTGCTCAGGAGTTAACAGATTGTGTGAATCTATGTGACCTAGTAACTTAACCCGAATTATCTTATCAAGTAACTCAACGTCTATTCCAGTTAGACTGACGGGCCGGTAGTTAGATACGATCTGCCTCTGACCATCCTTGAATATAGGACTTTACAATCTCTAGGGCGTTGCGCAAGTGAAAGGGACATGCTAAAGAGCGTCGCAAGCGGTCTTGAAATAATGTCCGCAAGAGATGACAGCAGTCGTAAATGTAACCCGGTATCTTACAAGGTTTGAGGTTAGTTATCGATGGAAGAACAGTTTCCTCAGTCACATGTAGAGATCCAATCACTGATATCTCAGTGTGATTGGGACAAGTATTTGTAACAATACACGTAGAGTAGACTTCGCTAAAATAGTTTGAAAATGTCTCGACTTTTGCCTAATCTCATTCAGCTAGTAAATCTAAATTTCCGTGTAACAGTAACGAGGGAATACTATCATTACATTTTTTTGCCGTTTAACGTACGAAAACAATAGTTTCGGACAAGTACGGCTATCATATACCAACTGTCGTTCGTAAGTAGTACGGGATTTAGCTGTGGTCTTTACATATATTCTGGATATTTTTATGCGTGTCCTGTTGACAAGAGTAAGTCCCAGAAGTGTTTCCTACGCTTCAACGGCTTCCGGGTTTCCTTGTTAATCCATGGTGGGCAATGTGATAGTTTACGTGTTGACCATGGAATGAACGGTGATGTTACGGACTCCAATGTAGCCTTAAACTTATTCCATTCGTTTTCGATCAATCCATCCACGTCAACCGACCAGTCAGTCGACATAGCATAGTCTCTGATTGCCGGAATATTAGCTCGCCAGATATTGGGACGGGGTGGAGCAGATGCAACTTGCGTGATCACTATTCACTTATGGGGGGAGGTGCTGAACGTCGATGACATCCTCTTAGTGGTGTATGAGAACCAAGTCGAGCAATGACGGGTCATGTTTTAAGTCAATATGTCTCGGTTTTGCGATACATTGTACAAGTGCACAACGGATATTGGTTGATAGAAAGTCGCTATCGAAACCCTCACCTGGAGCTGTAAGCTCTATCCAGTTGATATGCGGTACATTGAAGTCTCCAATGAGACTATCTTACTCCAAGAACAGATGTGTCTAAGGATCAAGTCGTCAGCAAGACAACACGGACTACGGAATATTGTTGGTCCTTCATGACTCCTTGGCCCCTGGCTGGGATCCGAGAGATGGTGCGACACAGTGGCTAGAGACGTTATCAGATATGGCTCAGAATAGAAGCCAGTGGCGATCCTGTTGTAACCTTCTTTTACTTTCTCCATCAAAAGTGGTTAATCTACCTTAACTGAAAGATTTCTTCTGATTGTACTTTTCCGTCTCCCCCATTATTATTATTGTTAGTATTGTTATTACACTACCTTACACTAATCTGGTTGTTATTGTTCTTTTTTTCTTTTACGCTCCTTACCTTCTGTTTTTTCTCTCCGAATTCTCATTGTTTTTTGCGGCGCATATATATTTGGTACTCTCTTGTACCAATATTTGTGTTCAAATAAAAATATAAATAAATAATACGGTATATTGTCCCTATAGTTAATAACCCGTTTCTGGACTTAATTGCGCAGCATGCTACCTCACATGTACCACTAACATGTGCCTCGGATATGATTGATTGTATACGAAAATGATCCCTAACGTATAATATTATGCCTCCTCGCGTGCGACTTAAAACTATCACTTCTAATACAGATGTAACCTGCAATGATGGGAGAACAGTCTATATCTACGGCGAGCCAAGTTTCTGTGACAACAATTATATCGGAACTTAATTCGTCCACCATCAGACTTAGCTCGGACGCTTTATTTCAAAGACTATGGGCGTTCGTGTAGCACACCTTTAAGGTGCTTTGGGAATTATTCGTTCTACCCATACAGGTCTCAGAAGCATTGGCTTCCAAGATCTGACTACCCGAAGACCCTTAATCGTAAGGTTCGTTTCGCCATTTATATTTCGAATTCTTAACTCCGTAAAAACATTCTTCTACTTGATTCGATCCTCAAGCGGCCAATTCAGTCGGATGCGAATATTTGAGTCATGAGTTTTGTGTACGTTTTTCAATATTATGTCTCTTTCCTTAAAATTCTCAAGTGCCAACTTCAAGATCCTTCTTGGTTGGGTCTCGCCTCCAACCCATTTACCGAGTCGTATTACCTTCGTGATGTGTACCCCTGAAACTTATTCAGGCAGTACATTTCCGACTACAGGTTGCACTAACTGCAAATCGCGTGCACGTCTTACTTTGGGACTTTGGCGGAGTGGTTTTGGCTACGTTTCCGCGTCATCCATTTCCTATCAGTCTCAACATCTCGGAACGGTAATGGTTTTGTCAGGATCGTCAGTCGCTGCTGTAGCAAATTGGCCGCCAATATCTAATGGTTTAACGCTGATTAATTGTTTCGGGGTAGAAAGCTCAATTTTGTGTTGCACAGTTGGGTATCTGGCAAGTGCCGTGACAGCACTTACGACACTGACGCAATCTTCGCCTTCAGTACCAGTGCAACCACCATCTTTCTTCTTACAGGTTAGAGCTATTAGGTTCATAACCTCCTGGATTAACAACGTCTTATTTGTACAGCAAAACATGCAAAGCATATGCGAGTTAGGCTTCGAGCATCTTTTGTATGTGGTGGGACTTAAACGGGTACACATCTTATTGAACCACTTTTTACACTCATCGCACTGCATTCCTTCGTCCACTGGGAACAAACAGTTTGGCTGTCCATATTTATAAGTACAACTAACCACCGTAATCAGATTAAGGTTTAAAACACAATATGGAAACAAGTGTCAGTCAATGAGAAAGAAGGTACCACAGGACAAAGTTTGGCAAGATTTCAAACCTTAACCGAAATACTTCAAGTTAGAGTGGACCAAGAATGCTTTTGATGCAAAAAGTACACAAAAGCAAGAATAATCACAACAAGTACAAAATCACTATCCTTTTAACTGGTTTTAATTTATTTCTCAATGAATAGACTTTTGGAGTGTGTTATTTTTATATCATTTAGGTGCTGAGTGTTCAGTATGTCGTCAGAAGATGATTGGTCGAAGTTGCCCACTCTGTCCAAAGTACAGCACAAGGTACTTAACATTCTTCCATCTTAATCCTAACCCTAGCTCTGGAACGCACGTGTGGCAGGATACGAAGAAGCGTTCAAAATATTTTCAACAGAGACAAATGGAAAAAGTCCTGTTTTTAACGAATATGTTGGATTGATGAAGAAGTTCGTGACTGATTCTCATGCTGGAGCTCAGGAAAAAGCTCTAGATGCTGTCTTAGCATACATAGAAACAGCTGCAGCAGCTACAAAGTAACTTTTGAGTTTTCTCCAACTTTTGTTAGATGTGCTGGAGATATTTGTTCTGGTATCATATCAAAATGTCTGGGTTCTACTCGAATGAAAACAAAAGACAAGTCAATTGAGTGCCTATTGATGTTGATAGAAATTGAGCGTCATGAATTAGTAATAGAAGAGCTCATTAAAGGTTTATCAACTAAAAATCCAAAGGTTGTTGTCGGAAGCTTACAGACTCTTCGTGAAGCTCTAAAGTGAGATTAATTTCACTACTTATTTGTACGTAGTCTTTTTGGTCCAACTGTTGTTCCGATCAAACCTCTTTTTAAAGAGTTTGGACGACTACTTGATGATCGAGACCAAGGGATCCGAAATGAAACGAAAAATCTCATCGTTGAGGTTTACAGATGGATAGGAGTAACCACAAAAGACCTATTAAAGGATATCAAACCAGTTGTGGTATGTATACCAAGTGTAGTTTTAAAAACGACATTCAGATGACTGAGTTATGTGAATTATTTAACTCTATTCCACCCGGAAAACCTGTTCGATTAAGATACTTACGCAGTCAAAAACCTAAAGAAATTACTCCAGATACTGGGGCTGAAAGTAATCCCATTGATGGCCCTATTCCAGGTGGAACTTTAACCGACCAGGTTGATTTGGATGATATGATTACTCCTGTTGAAGTTCTTAGCAAAATCCCCAGCGATTACTGGCAACAAATAGTAAGTTCTTCGTAATAAGGTTGATTCCGTCTTTCAGGGGGAAAAGAAGTGGCAAGATCGGCGTGACGCTTTAGAGGCACTTGAAAAAATTACGAACGTTCCTCGGATTGTTCCAGGTGATTTCACAGACCTCGTAAGAAGCTTGATTCAGGTACGTTGTGACCTAATTATTTCTGGAATCTGCAGGTTGTAAATAAAGATACTAACATAATTCTGGTGACTCTTGCTGCTAAAATTTTGGGACAAATAGCAAGAGGGTTAAAGTCTAAGTTCAGTCCTTACTCCCAACAAACCTTACAAGCGTGTTTGGGGAAGTTTAAAGAAAAGAAACCTAATGTTGTTCAAGCTCTAAGAGAATCTGCTGATGGTGCTGTATCTTCGGTATGTTTTTCTATTTGTACATAAATAACGTGGTGTTTCAACATTTCATATTGACATACAAGTTTACTAGGTCTCACTTTACATTTGATTTTTTTCCAAGGTAACTTGAATTTTCTGTTTTCAAATATTCATAGTTTACTTGAGATTTCAGCTCTTTAAGTTGAATATCTGATATATTTGAACCTCATTGTGTCTCTGTCTAAGATCCTTTTCGGTATGTTGTCGTGTAGCAATTAGTATGAGTAAATAACTTGACTGACAAATATTTAGTATTTAGTATTATTTATTTGAACACATAAATATTGGTACAAAGGGGCAGCGAATACATATGCGCCACACGAGTCACTTGGTTCGTTTGTGGGTTGTGATACTGCCCGGGTGCCCAGATCGGAGCAGGTGGTCTGATCCACTAGGCAGTGGAGCAACGTTAGGAGATGCAGTCCCAAGGTAGCCGGTGACCAACAATAGGTTCATATACCATCTGTTCCTTCAGAATCCTGGAGCCCATGTGCACCATTGGTTTGGAATCAAAGTTTCCCAACTCCCCTAAGTAGATCCTCCGTGTTCACAAACCCGGTTAGGACGTCGGACATTCGCTCTTCGTCCTCTCAATTTTGTAAACAACACCCCTGCCCCGAGAAGGCAGTGAGTAGGACTTACCTGGCAGTAGCTGTATACGTGTGGTTATGTAAGAGCATTTCAAGAGAAAGAGCTAACTCTCCCCACCCTCGGCAGCACCAGGGCATTTGGGGGTAAGCTTTCAGTCATTATTTATTATATGATTGCGATATTGAATGGGAAAAGATCCCTCAAATTAGTCGATTGTTGTCATGAAACGTAACCCGTAAGTAAACGTGGAATTAGATTTATGGACAAGTCATAGATAATAAATAATATATTTGTCCTCTCAATTTTGTAAACAACACCCTTGCTCGAGAAGGCAGTGAGTAGGACTTCCCTGGCAGTGGCTATATACGTGTAGTCATGTAAGAGCATTTCGAGAAGAGATGACTCTCCGACATATATTTCAGTTTAAATATGAAATTTTTGTTCATTGATTTATAGTGGCATTCTGTTTTGGTTATCCCTATTGATTCAGTCAGTCAGCTACAACGTAGGACCAGGCACATATGTGCATCGGTCCAGGTTGCCATACCTCATTAGCACAGCAAGATGAACACCGGATTCATAGGAGTGGTTAGGTAAAAGGTGGTAATATATAGGAGAAAGATTGCATATAGAGATATAGTACAAGAAGAAAACATTGGTTCGTAGAAAGAAAGGTATGAAGTGATTTTAATCTTTTAGTTTAAGGGAAGACAGGGAGTGTATACACCGACGCCATTGTGATCGATTCTGAGCCATGTCACCAAGAGTCTCCAACCATTGGTTACGATAGTCACGCGGACCCCAACCAAGTAGTCTGCATCTACCAACATGGCTCAGACTAGAAGTTGGTGACTTCAAGCACTGATGCCACGTTTTGGTTTGGCCGCCCCTAACTTTCTTCCAACCATCTCCAATACCGGATAGGATTGCACGTCGTGGTAATCGGTATTCAGGCATACGTAACACGTGGCCCAACCATCTCAGTTGATGAAGATTAACAACCTCATCAACTGATATACCATCATTCTCTAAAACCCTGCGTCTAACCTAACTATTACTTACCCGGTGATCCCAGCAGACGCCAGCAATATTTCTAAGGCATCTGTGGTCAAATACTAGTAGCTTACGAGTGTCTTCTACTCTTAATGGCCATGTTTCGCTGCCGTAAAGTAAGACAGAACGGACTGTCGCGCAATATACTCGTCCTTTTATTGATAGACAGATATCTCGCCTTCGCCAAAGGTGACGTAAGTTAGCAAAAGCCAAACGAGCTTTTCGAATCCGTGCTGAGATTTCGTCAGACACCAATCCGTTTGGGCTGATCAGACTTCCAAGACAAGTGAAGTTGTCAACGCGTTCGGCTACTTTACTCCCTATCCTTAGTTCAGGTGTTAACGCAGACCAGTCCTGAAGCAACAACTTGCATTTAGAGGGAGAGAAGCGCATTCCAAACATTCTGGCATTGTTGCTCAGTGCTACCAAAAGACTGCATTTTATCAGCGTCTTCACCAAACAGGACTATGTCATCTGTGTATTCTAAGTCGATAAGTGGACCTCCTGGATGGAGATCAATACCCGAGAATTCAGTCGACGAGAATGTTATTTCCATCAGTAGGTCTATGATGAAGTTAAACAGAAACGGAGAAAGTGGACAGCCTAGACGGACACCACTTAACGTTGCAAAAGCAAATGACAGTTCGCCTTAAGCCCTGACCCGACTAGTAGTGTTCGGGTAAAGAGATTTCACAAGGTTTATTTACCTCTGACATCCACCTTTCAGCGATAAACACTGCCACAGAACCTCTCGGTCTACAGAGTCAAATGCTCCTTTTAAGGCAAGAAAGACCACTACTGTCAGACGCCGATAAGCATGCCTGTGTTCGAAAATCTGACGAGTAGTGAATATGTGGTCGAAGCAGCCACGACCAGGTGTGAGGCCAAACCGACGTTCTCGTATTTGCGGTTCACGAGACTTTGTTAGTCGCCCGATAATTATCGAAGCTAGTATTTTAGATATTATATTAGTTAAACTAATCCCTCTGTGGTTGTCACAGGATGATTTTAACCCTTTCTTATATATTGGGACGATAAGTGATTGTGACCAGTTAGATGGAATAACGTCTAACTCCCAGATCTTAGCTAAAATATTAGTCAACCTAATCGCTAGTATTGTACCACCATTCTTAAAGACCTCTGGAGCCAATCCATCTGGACCAGCTGCCCTTCCTCGTTTCAGATTAACTATAGCCTTTTGAACTTCAGCAAGAGTTGGGGGACCTACTTCAATGTTCCATTCACACTGTCTGAGAATGGAGGGTAGTTGTAGAGTCGCTAAAGGCTAGCTGAACTGTTCCCTAAAATGTTCGGTTCATCGTTCTAAACGTCTGGATTGGGAGTAGATGAGAGTATCGTCTTTTTCCGAAATAATCTCACTTACACTTGACTTACTAGTTCCAGTTTCTTTTATTAGTCTATAAAGCTGTCTTGTGTTTCCTATAGTCGCCGCCTTTTCCATCTCTTTTGCTTTCGTTGCCCACCACTGCTCACGGTCGTTCCTTAGACTTTTTCTTAACCTAGATCTGATTTGTTGTTGCTCTTCATCGTGTTCAGAGCCTGATGGGACGAGTTTGCGAGAATCCATCAGTGTGATAGACCTTGAAGAAATCCACTGGTTCTTTGTAATTCTGTGGTTTAAGTCACTGCTGTTTCCACAGCTGTTTGTATATCTTTCCAAGCAACATCTGGGTCAGCCTCGTTTTCAGAACTACCTAAGTGTGACCTGAGTTGTTCCCGGAACCTACTTTTGGTTTTCTCGTTACTCAACTCAGTTCTAATTGGTCTTTTTGATGTGGCTTTTTTGCGTCCAGTGAGGCGCAAGCAGATGCGTGCCAGTATTAGGGCGTGGTCGGAGTCCAAGCAGGTACACCATAATGAGCGACAATCTTCTACCGACCCTCTCCAACGATGACTGATGGCAAAATGGTCTATTTGAGTCCATCGTTGGTTTGGTGTAGGGGGTCGCCATGTTAAACGATGTCTCTCCTTATGCTTGAAATTTGTGTTTCCTAAAAATAAACGATTGTCTGAGCATAGTTGCAGCAGACGATCACCATTATCTGTTCGTTGTGCCGGTATACTAAAATACCCACCTAAATGTCTTTCTGTTTGGTTTAAACCACCTTTCTGGGCATTAAAGTCACCTGCTACGAGTACTATGTCTGAACGTTTAGCTTTCTGAAGAAGTTCATATAGCTTTCTGTAAAATTCATCTTTCATTTCATCTGGGCTGCAGTCGGTGGGAGCGTAGGCAGAAACGACAAAAATGCAACGACGTGTGTCCCTATCCTTCCGAGTTCTTACGGAGCCGTTTAGCCGAACAGCACATAGACGACTGTTGACGGGGATCCACTCTAACAGTGCTTGTTCCACCCTCATGCTTAGTGCTATCCCTACTCCTGCCAGTCCACGAGGGCTGGCCATCGGGTCACCAGATAAACGGAGGGTGTATCTCGTTGGCTCTCCGTTTTGCTGAGGTGAGGTCAAGTGAATGACCACACTGGAATCCTGTATGTGTGTTTCGGAGTCACAACATACATCAATGGTACGAGATTCTAGGGTTCTAGCCAAGGAAGCCTGTTGACCGATTTGACACAGGGTGCGTACGTTGAAGGCTCCAATGTGTAGTTTTGAGCGGGGTTTCAGTAGACGTGGGACAGTGTTTTGAGCATTAGAATCGTTGGCTATGGTGACACTTGAAGAGGAAGCCGAAAAAGGAAGTTTAGAGGTGAAAGCCGATGTAGGAGGAATAATAGGAAGTGAATACGGAGGTTGATTATGAATAGTGGTCTTGAGTGCTGTTAGAGGTATGAGGGCGGTTATCACTTCCCGGTTGCCCACTCCGTGGAAGAGTTCTTCTGGAGGTACCTGAAATATGAAATTGGGTTAGAGGTGGTTTTAGTGACCCGAGAACGTGACCGCAGTGCCTAAGGGACAACTGCTTGAGGTCGGTCACACACGACCTTTTTATGGGCAATTTTTGTGTTAGCTCCGTACTTGTTGAGACCTTACCACCGGAGACGGATATCCGTGTGATAAGGCGAGGTGTGCATTTTTAGGGTCGACCTTTCCTAACCCCACCCCTCCTGGTGGGAAGGCAGCATCGCTGTCATGCTGGTTGTCTGAAGGAAACACCTTACTGCTGTCACACCTCTGTACAGTCAGCGGTACGACTTCGCCTTCGGAACTTATTGATTCAGTAGGTAAAATTTGTATATTTTGTAGTTATAGAATGTTTGATCGAAAAAACCACAAATATCTCTTCAGAAAATGCACGTTATTTAGGTAAAGGACTTTTCTACAAGTACCTGCCCCCAAATGCCCTGGTACGGCTGAGAGTGGGGAGTCCGCTCTCCCTCTCGAAATGCTGCGTATATAGCCTCTGCCGGGTAAATCCTACTCACTGCCTTCTCGGAGCGGGTGTGTTGTTTACTAAATTGAGAGGACAAAAAGCGAACGTCCGGCGCCCTAACCGGATTGGTGGACACGAAGGATCTACTTAGGGGAGTTGGAAAGCCTTGATTCCAAACCAATGGTGCACATGGGCTCCAGTATCCTGAAGGAACAAATGGCGTATGAGCCAATCGTTGGTCACTGGCTACCATGGGATTGCATCTCCTAACGTTGCTCCACTGCCTTGTGGATCAGATCTTCAGGTCGGAGGCTACGGATGTGGCCTCCTAAGAAAACCACCTGCTTCGGTTTGGGAACCCGGGCAGCATCACAGCCCTCACACATATCAAATGAGATCTGTGTGGCGCATATGTATTTGGTGCCTCCTTGTACCAATATCTATATGTTAAAACAAATAAGCCTGCAAATATCACACCACATTGTTTATTCGCTGCATTTAGAAACTTGATCAATGAGTTTCAATACCGAGAACTAAATAGGGTCGTACTACTTATTATGCAGCTATCGATTAGTTATTAGTTAGTGATAAGTATTGGGTTGGATTTTCAGTCCATTAGTTTATTGCGAAATTGTTAGGCACTGTTCAATGCGGCTTTTTGATTATATATATATATAATACGGTAATTTTTATTTTTAAACTTAAGAGATTTCAGACACTTTCTAAGCTTATATCAAATAAGCTTATTTAAAACACGATTATAAAAGTCTCATGGTTGTAATCGTCTTCTCTTTACTTTTTATTTTTGAGAATGTAGATTGTATTCTCACACTAGAGATATTATACCAATTTCTAGTGATTTATTTGTTTCATATTCTGATTTTATCGATTTGAATTGAGGAATTTGTATGTGATTTTGTCTTTTAATGCTATGGTAATATGACATTTTAACGTGTGAATTTTTCAGCTACCTTAATTATACTTTCTTCGGTAAACAACTTCCTGTTTACTGTTCAAATCACTTCATTCATTTTTCACAGATTTTTTATTATTTATTTATTTTAACACATAGACATTGGTACAAGGAGGCACCAAATACATATGCGCCACACAAATCTCATTCGATATGTGTGAGGGCTGTGATACTGCCCAGGTGCCCAAACCGAAGCAGGTGGTTATCTTAGGGGGCCACACCCCGAGCCTTTGACCTAAGGGTCTAACCCACAAGGCAGTGGAGCATCGTAAGGAGATGCAATCCCATGGTAGCCAGTGACCAACGATTGGTTCATACGCCATTTGTTCCCGCAGGATACTGGAGTCCATGTGCACCATTGGTTTGTGATCCGGTTAAAGCGCCGGACATTCGCTTTTCGTCCTCTTATTTTCGTAAACAATACCCACGCCATGAGAAGGCAATGAATAGGACTTCCTTAGTAGAGGCTATATACGCGTGGCCATGTGACAGCATTTCGAGAGGGAGAGCGGACTCTCCCCACTTTCAGCTGTATCAGGGTATCTGGAGGCTAATTCCTTAGACGGTATTTTTCATAGACAGCACTAGCACACTATGGTATACCATTTCAACAGTTATATGCTTCTTCGTATAGTTCTAGTTATGGTCAAACTAGTTTATAACTCTACTTACCATTCTTTTTTAATAAGTTTTACGTCACACTCATAAGTTCTGTAATAATTGATAGAGAGTAGCCTAATGCACTCAGTTGTTTTAAATTAATCGTTGGTGGTCAATGACGTAGTTTGTCTTTTAATTTTTGAAGTGCAATTTTGATTAGTCCTTTTAACTTATCACCTATTTACTTCCATAGATTTTTTTCCTGTTGATCCCTTAAGGTTGCATTTAGAGTTGTTCATTCTAGCATTACATATACAAAATTATTTTAATTTATAAAAGAGGACACTGGAGACTTCGCAGTATTAGTTAACGTTCGTCGCTCTTAAAGCACAAATAACTCTGAAAATCGCTTACTTCTTTGGAAGACTTGGATATTGTATTCAGTCGAATAGGTAAGATATTTATAGGATCTAATCACATGCTTGGTAATGGATTATGACTGTGTCCTTATATTCATTGAGATTTCTAGGTCTTAATATACCTGGTGAATTAGGGTTTTATTGATGTATGTGTCGATTATATAACATAAAGGCTTCTTGATTATGCGATTCTAGTAGTAATCTTTTAATCCTGCTTCTTCAATCTCCGCTGCCGTTACTTTATCTTATGTTGTTACTACCAAAGTTTTCCTAATGTATACTATTTTTCGCTTCCAGGCTTCACTAGATCATTTTGTGGATGATATTGTAGCTGCATTAAGTCACAAAACACCAAATGTACGTGCAGAAGCAGCCTTAATTCTAAGTAGAGCGTTCAAAAAATGTTCTGCCACATCACTAAACAAAAAGGTTTTAAAATCATTTACTGTACCGTTATGTGTAACATGCAACGATACTGTTCCTGAAGTGCGTGAATGTAGTTTTGCAGCGCTTGGTGCTGCAATGTTCGTCGTGTCGGCAAAAACTATCCAGCCCTTTCTCAGCGAACTCGATTCCATCCGGCTGGCGAAAATCAATGAATGTTGCGAACGATTAGCGTCTGAACTTAGTAATTCAAATAATTCTGGTTAGTTTAGGATTTCTGTTACATTTTCTATCAGTGGTACATCTTAATTTCCAATCTTTATTTATAAACACATAATATTTCTGTTTTAGATTACTTGACAATAGATAATTGTGTAGTGTTTTGTTATAATCCAGCCTAACGCACACGTGTAAGACGAATTTAGGCCACTGAATTGTGAGAAATTAATTTGCTAGCGTAGTGAGTAAACATGGTCGAAGGCTCCTGATCTAGTTACAATAATTTACCGTTTTATTACGAACATGATGTTTCCCTATTCTTCAAATTGTAAATTGCTGGTCATAGTAATTTCAGCTGATTACAATATTAGTGTTTTGCGGACTGAAGTTGTAGGATGATATAAGTGCTTCAAGTCCCTAAAATTAGTCAAGATTGTTTCTGAAACCTTAAATAGCTAAATCGATTAGAAGAGTATATATCTGTTACAGATAACGATAAAGTTAAGCAGCTGGTGGTACATCAGTAGTTCGTAGTTTCTGAAAGAAATAGTAGGAAAATGCCAAATTGTATCACTATTTAACTTCTGAATTATCACAACAGTCTGAAAATGTTTCAAACCACCTTACAATAAGTTGATATCTTTGATAAGTTTTAGTGAATTTTTCTTCTCGACAAATTGATATTCCAGTCAGTCAGTAACAACGTAGAACTTCGTACGTACGTACATCAGTTCGAGTTGCCACACCACATTAGCACAGAGATGCAGTTGTCGATTCAAATTCCGTAGTTGTAGAGGCGGTAACAGTATAAGCAGTAATCATGAAGATTAGGGTTTGGAGATGTTATTTAAAGAGTATAATCCAGTGAAATAAATTTGGAAAGAGAAAAAAAGAAACAAGGAGGATTCAGGAGATTAAAATTTGGGAGAACACAAAGAGTGGATGCACCTGCGCCATTGCAAACGATTTTGAGCCATGTCATTCAGGGTCTCTAACCATTGGTTGCTATCATCTCGCGGTCCCCAACCAGGTAGTCTACACCTACCAACATGACTCAGTTCACTTGTCAGTGACTTCATGGACTTGTGCCATGTTTTGGTCTGGCCGCCCCTAGCTTTCTCCCAAACTTCTCCATGTTTGTAGGCCATGTATGGTTTCACATCTGGACCTCCTGTACAGTCTATTCCTGCGTTTCTGACTAAACTAAAGTTACTGGTGGATGATGAGGAAACAAACGATCTCATATATTGGGATCCGCACGGGACAAGCTTTCACATACGTGATGGAAACCGCTTAGCCAAAGAATTACTACCCCTTTATTTCAAACACAACAATTTATCTAGTTTCATAAGGCAGTTAAATATGTATGGTTTCAGAAAAATAAATCGTGTGGATCCGTCTCTTCCTTTAAAATCTGACACTGAAGACATGGAATTCAGTCATCCTTACTTCATCCGCAATAAAGATATTTTGCTATCCAAAGTTCAGAGGCGGACCTCAAACATGTTCTCGCCAATACTGGGGTCAAGAAATCAAAGTTTTGGTGTGAAAGTACCTTATGTTCAAACTAATTCGGGTTTAAATGGTTCCATAAGTGTATCACCCCAAAGACCAATAACTGCCACAGACTTCTTAAGATTGGCAGAGACTGTACGGCACTTGCGTTGTAATCAGGAGGCTTTAAGTCAACAAATTAGTGTGTTAAAGTCGGAAAATCAGCTTTTGTATCGTGAACTTTCTGATTTACGAGAACATCACGACAAGCAATCCCAACACATTCCTGTCAGCATTTGCAAAGGAAGGGAGGTCTGCAAGCGTGTGCATCGAACAGACAAAACGTAAAGCTCTTCCTTCTATTACTCCATCCGGTTCAAGATTTCAAAACAAAGAACTAAAGCTGGATCTTCGAAAAGGTTTCCAAATTGAAAGAAACTCTGTTCAACCACTTCAACTTGTCCAAACTAGTGATTTGCTCGGACCACATAAGCGCCCTAAATTCGACTTACGAAATTTGTCTGCAAAAATAGGCAATACAAGTTCCGGTGCAAATATTACTGACCAGATTTCAGATATTGGATCAGTTGTTCATATTCTCCCTTCAAATCTTCAGCTTACTCCAGTGAATCTTGATGATGACGGTAAACATGTATACTCTTTAACTGGTTCATCACAAGAGTGTGACGTAAATAGACAAAGTTTGGTTGATAAAAATCCTGCGAATGTTCGAGATGAACCGAGATACTATCTGTCTAAGGACTGGTGTGCGTCAATCCTGGCCACGTGTATACAGCCTCTGCCAGGGAAGTCCTAATCATTGCCTTCTCGTGGCGGGGTGTTGTTTACGAAAATAAGAGGACGAAAAGCGAATGTCCGGCGCTTTAACCGGATCACAAACCAATGGTGCACATGGACTCCAGTATCCTGCGGGAACAAATGGCGTATGAACCAATCGTTGGTCACTGGCTACCATGGGATTGCATCTCCTTACGATGCTCCACTGCCTTGTGGGTTAGACCTTTAGGTCAAAGGCTCGGGGTGTGGCCTCCTAAGATAACCACCTGCTTCGGTTTGGGCACCTGGGCAGTATCACAGCCCACACACAAATAATGAACTCTTTATGACTATGGAAATTAATTTTCTCGCTTCGAAAAACAATCAATTGATTCAAATTATTATCATCACAATTATTATTATTATTTTCCACATTATTCACCCTCTTTTATATTTATATAGCGGCTCGTCTTTGGTGGAAATTCGACTGTATCTAAACGTTCTCGAGTCACTGTCCGGTTGAAGATTGTATGTTACCACCGAATATGAGTACTGAAGCAGTTTTTCTGAAACCACGTGCACCATTCTAACTGGCTGCCTCCAACGTTCGCACATTTATGCAGGTCGGGCAAGATATAGGGCTGGCTTTGTCTTTGGAAAGTCTTAATATTGATGTTTGTTGTCTATCCGAGACTCGTATTCAAGACTCTGGTGAAGTACTACAAATTCGATCTCCATCTGTCGCTTCGAAAAGCTTGTTATACGTGCGCTTATCCGGGGACCCTGTGGCATCTTCGTCTGGTCTTGCTGGCGTTGGTGTCGCACTAAGCGCTAGAGCTGAGGCAGCACTAGTCGATTGGATCCCCATTAACAGTCGGTTATGTGCTGTTAGATTAGAAAATTCCATCAAAGTGAGAAGAAATCGGCGTGAGAAACGATGTCTTTTCGTCATCTCCGCTACAAATCACCTGGCCCAGATGACTTACCTCCGGCTCTTTTTAAAGATGGTGGTGACTTTCTGACTAAGGAACTGACGATGTTGTTTATAAAGGTTTGGGAACTACAGAATGTACCAACGTCATGGAATGAGTCGATAGTTGTCCCTATCTTTAAAATGGGTTCACGTCGTCCCTGTAACAACTATTGGGGGATAAGTCTACTTCCGATTGCGTTCAAGCTATTGGCTTCCGTCATTCTTCGTAGGTTGTTCGAAACCCGAGAAAGATTGACTCAAGAGGAGCAGGCTGGGTTTCGTTCCGGTCGAGGATGTATTGATCATATCTTCACCCTCCGCCAAATGTTAGAACACCGCCATACTTATCAAAGGCCTATAATCGTAGTGTTTCTTGACATCAGGGCTGCCTTCGATTCGTTGGACAGAACTGTTCTCTGGGATTGTCTATTGAAGAAGGGTGTGTCTGAGAAGTTTATTAACATCCTAAAAGCCCTATATACAAACACCTCAGACAGAGTGAGGGCATACAACCACCTCTCTCCATTGTTCCATTCGAGCAGTGGGGTTAGGCAGGGTTGTCCAATCTCACCATTCCTCTTCAACTTTGCCATCGATGACATTCTGGAAACAGCTCTGATGAATGTAAGTAATGGTGGTGTGGATCTGTTGCATGGAGAAAGACTTCTCGACTGTTATGACTGTGAAAAATAATAATGCGGATTAAGGGGGGCGAATTATTGATCGGACCAAAGACGCGCAAACACGTAGAACGACCTAGAGTTCTGATTTGTCTCACTTCCCTGTCTAGCCCAGTTAGTTGAGTCCAGAACACAAGCCACCGCCTCGGAGGCATGAATCATTACATTTCAAACATACTTTCTTTATATACCAATCAAGCACACCACATCGTACCATAAAATGGAAAACAACATTTTGTACAATATTTAACAAGTGAACAGATATCGACCAATAGGCAATGTCCATTTAAAGTCCAAGGACACCATTGGACTTAACATGATAATTATTGGTCTATTCCTCTGCATCCACAACATCGACCTTGAGTATGCGGATGATATTGTCTTACTGTGCGATAATGCCCAAGCAATGCAATCCTCACTTAATCAGTTGGCAATCAGTGTCCGTAGGTATGGTATGTGCTTTGCACCTTCGAAGTGCAAAGTACTCCTACAAGACTGGCAGGATTCCAATCCTGTACTCACCCTGGATGGTGAGCAGATAGACGTAGTTGAGAAGTCCGTGTATCTGGGTAGCTGCATAAGTGCTGATGGGGGTGTGAGTGATGAGATCAATGCACGTATAGTGGAAGCCAGAGCGGCTCATGCCAATCTGGGCCACCTTTGGCGCCTTCGTGATGTTAGTATGGCTGTAAAAGTTCGGATCTACAACGCGTCGGTGAGAGCAGTTTTGCTCTATGCTTGTGAAACCTGGCCTCTCCGAGTTGAGGACGTTAGACGACTCTCTGTGTTCGATCATCGCTGTCTCCGAAGGATTGCTGGCATCCAGTGGCAACACCATGTCGGTAATGCAGAGGTTCGGCATCGTGTGTTCGGGCACAGAGATGATAATTCAATTGGTGTGACCATCTTGAAACACCGACTTCGGTGGCTTGGACATGTTCTCCGAATGTCGTCCCAGAGAATTCCACGTCGTGCATTATTTGCTGACTCTGGGACTGGTTGGAAGAAGCGGAGAGGTGGTCAGTGCATGACATGGTGTCGTGGTATGAAAGAAAGCTGCAAAGGACTGGCTTGTGTCGGTCCTTCACGACTCCCTGGTTGGGGTCTGAGAGATGGTGCTACACAGTGGCTAGAGACGTTATCAGATATGGCTCAGAATAGAAGCCAGTGGCGATCCTGCTGTAACCTTCTTTTACTTTCTTCATAAAAAGTGGTTGTGTCTCCCTTACCTGAAAGATTTCTTCTGATTGTACCTTTTCGTTCCCTCGTTACTACCACACTACCTTACACCAATCTCTTCGTTATTGATCTCTTTTTCTTTTGCGCTCGTTAGTTTTTTTTTCTACTTCTCTTCGAATTTTCATTGTTTTGTGTGGCGCATATATATTGGCGCTCTCTTGTACCAATATTCATGTGTTCAAATAAATACATAACCTACTCATATACCATTGGGCATCGCACGTCAAGGTAGTCGGTAGTTGGGCATACGTAACACGTGTCCCAGCCATTTCAACTGATGAAGTTTCACTACTTCAATTGATTTGCCATCCTTACCTAGTGCCCGTACGTCGGGCCTGAAGAAATATCAATCAGTGATATTTCTTCAAGTTCGACGTACCAGACAAATTGTTGCATGTTATAACGCTGAAATGTAAACCTTTTACAATCACGAAATCGTCAGTGAACAAATAAACTTCGGTTTTATACGTAAACTAAGATAAAGTTGTGTTACTTTCTTCCTTTGAGGTTCAAAGGACTCGAAGATATTTGAATGTCAACCATTAGTTTCTGTCTCCAAACATAAATAGTGACGAGACAGATTTATAATTATTTTTTAGGTAGTTAAAAACTCTGAAGATGTCAAAAAACATTTTAAAGTGGGAAATAAAGAATTATAGAATTCTCGTTGAATAAATCTGTTCACGGAGCTCCAGATATCTCAAGCCGTATAATAGTCTCAGTACATGGATTTTAGATTGACCGTTACATTTGATCTATGATTTCATTACATATTCATATCGACATGCTTAATAATGCTGTTTCTTTTGATAAGAATTAACACTGCAAAACGTTAGTTTTATCTTTCAATGTCACAAAAATCGTTGATTTCTCGTATACTTGTAGGCTTCTAAATTCCGTTCTGTTTTAATTTACGGCAGCGAAACATGGCCATTAAGAGTAGAAGACACTCGTAAGCTACTAGTATTTGACCACAGATGCCTTAGAAATATTGCTGGCGTCTGCTGGGATCACCGGGTAAGTAATAGTTAGGTTAGACGCAGGGTTTTAGAGAATGATGGTATATCAGTTGATGAGGTTGTTAATCTTCATCAACTGAGATGGTTGGGCCACGTGTTACGTATGCCTGAATACCGATTACCACGACGTGCAATCCTATCCGGTATTGGAGATGGTTGGAAGAAAGTTAGGGGCGGCCAAACCAAAACGTGGCATCAGTGTTTGAAGTCACTAACTTCTAGTCTGAGCCATGCTGGTAGATGCAGACTACTTGGTTGGGGTCCGCGTGACTATCGTAACCAATGGTTGGAGACTCTTGGTGACATGGCTCAGAATCGATCACAATGGCGTCGGTGTATACACTCCCTGTCTTCCCTTAAACTAAAAGATTAAAATCACTTCATACCTTTCTTTCTACGAACCAATGTTTTCTTCTTGTACTATATCTCTATATGCAATCTTTCTCCTATATATTACCACCTTTTACCTAACCACTCCTATGAATCCGGTGTTCATCTTGCTGTGCTAATGAGGTATGGCAACCTGGACCGATGCACATATGTGCCTGGTCCTACGTTGTAGCTGACTGACTGACTGAGGCTTTTAAGTTGTAAATAAACAATTATATCCTATTCAGATCAGTAATCATTACAATCGTCATGATATGGTAACTTGTGTTAATGCACACATGTGTGCTAGGTTCTACTTTGATTATGACAGGCGAAGTGTGGTCAGTATCTAGCTTTTTCTATTTATCGGGGGATGTAATCTGTCGTCTTATTGATTGTATGCTCCCCGTACCTTCGTATCCAAAACCTCTCCATCCTCACACATGTAGAGTAGCGCAGATTTTTCTCCATTTAAATGCTTTTCATATTTCAGTTCTGATATGTTTTGCCCTTATTTTTGACAATACAGGTAACCAACTAACTGCTCCTTCGACAAATATGTCTACATCTGCGAAACCCAATACTGTACGACGTCGTGCAGCACCACCAGTCACTCGTCCGAATACAGCGTCCAGTGGCACTGGAGAGGCTAATTCTGAATGTGCTACTAAAACACCAACTTCTGGGCCATCTAGTAAAAAATCGACAGCACGTACGAAATCTGTTATTGAGAAATCGAAATTCACCATTCCAACAGAAAACTTGTTAACAGAGGATGAAATATCTCAGAAAGCTTCTGAGTGAGTTGTTACTAGTTTCACCCACCTTGTTTTCTTCGATATCTTACACCAAATATCAGATGATTTTTATAAGCTAAATGTAATGATTACGAAAAGATTCCGAGGAATCTGATTAGTGATTAGAATTTATTTATTCTGTTATAGCATTTTGTTACAAAGCTGCACGGAAAACAAGGTCGATAATGGGTACAGAAAAAAACAGAGTAACTGGACCATTATTGAACATCAGGTCCCAATACATTTGTCAGGGACTCGCTTACGTATTCACTATGTTAGCTTGTTTTGATTGGATACTTAATGATAATTACAGGCTCATTCGCCAGGTAATTGGGTATGTGCGGTAATTTGATTGTGAACGCTAATTATACTATCCAATTTAATCAAACTGAGTTAGATTGAGTGGCATTCCAATCGGAAACTTAGTAGCCGGACGTCGAGTGTCCTAACCGCTAGGCCCACCTGTCTACTGCCATGTCAGAAGTTGGAGATGTAGAGTCGGAAATGTGGGGTCATGTAAGAATTAGATGATAAAGAATGATGATCAATAATGAAGGAATACTTCCTATCTGCTAACGATTTGCTTGAAAGGTAATCCCTAGATTTTAGTACTTCTCTTCGTTATTAAAGCTTCATAAACAACCGTCCCAGCCAGCATTGTTAAATAAATTTACTTCATTCTAAGCATCGATTGACAGAAAGAAATATACATAATTTAACGATTTCAGTAAATATGTGCCTACAGTTTCTATACCCAATTCACCTCTCATTCCTGCACAACTACATCGTCTATTTGAACGTGCACTTCAGGTATTAATTAACTGAATTCACGTATCAACAAGTAATTCTTGGGCACATTATATCTTTTGTGTTGATTACCTCTTTTACGAAATCTTTTCCTGTTAAAACTGGAAGGGTTAATTAATCGTTTTAATAGATGAGGTCATCCTCTGTAAACTAAATTTATTTGTTTAAAGCACATATGGTGTTTTTGGTTATTTTAGATAATTATTTGAATGGAAAATTCAAAAGGCTTTTTCCTTGACCGTAATTTCTGATTGAATGTGTTTTAGGCTTCTTGGGGAAGCACTTATCAAGCAATTATCTGATACGAATTGGAAAGAACGCTTGCAAGCGGTTGAACAAATGAAATCTAACATACATTCCTTTACCAGTTCTGACGTACCTACTCAAATTTTGTGTCGTGCTGTTCTACTTAAGCCTGGAATCAAGGATACTAATTTTCAGGTACTTAGTTGTGTTTTGAGTGAAATCATTTTATGTCAGCTTATAAGTGACAATTTATGTCAAATAATTTCGGTATGTTTACTGTCATGGTTTTATTGGTCTGCAACACCTATCAAGTTCTAGTCTTAAACAATCAAACCCAGAATTGTTTACTCTCATTGTTTTCCAACACCCATAACATCGACTTTCTAAACTGCGTTGATGTTTTTCCTTGATGTTACTACAAGTTTTAAAGTCCTTTTTAGTAGCCTGATAGACACCTTCGATCTCAGAAGTAACCGTTAATACAAAAAGGAAATTGAGTGAATATATTCACCATCAATTTTATACCTGTTCTCATTGATCAATTAGAACAAACTGAAACCTGAATTATTAATGTTGTATTTCAGTTTATCATGTGCTAGATACAATTGCATGACTTAATTAGCAAGAAAACCCTAAAAGACCACAAAATCGTTCGTTTATAAATAATAATTGGCTATAGAAATGAAAGGTTGAAAAAATGGATACATCTCTGTTGCTCCATTCGGTCTCACCTTATATTCCAAAATACTGTTCATCATAACATTAGATGTGGAATTATGAAGGAAATAATCTCAGTGATTGCAAGTAATATAACTCTAGCGTTTCACCTGATAATTTCGTTCAAGTTTCTTCAGGAAAATAGTCAGAATCAAACATAAATAACCTCTGAAATAACTGTATGCCAATTTTCTTTAAATAATTGCTGACAGTAGACTTTAGGACTCGTGACCGGTAACCAACAATAGGTTCATATACCATCTGTTCCTTCAGAATCCTGGAGCCCATGTGCACCATTGGTTTGGAATCAAAGTTTCCCAACTCCCCTAAGTAGATCCTCCGTGTTCACAAACCCGGTTAGGACGTCGGACATTCGCTCTTCGTCCTCTCAATTTTGTAAACAACACCCCTGCCCCGAGAAGGCAGTGAGTAGGACTTACCTGGCAGTAGCTGTATACGTGTGGTTATGTAAGAGCATTTCAAGAGAAAGAGCTAACTCTCCCCACCCTCGGCAGTACCAGGGCATTGAGGGCGTTCAAATATCCTATTTATTGTTGTTTATTTTCTTGTAGAAGTTTAGACCAGACTGCCGGGTGAAACGTTCCCATTATTTAAATTGAACGAAATATCTTTTCGGTGACTCTTGGTTTTCATTGATTATCTTACTAAAATCAGTCCGTCATGAAAACTATTATAATACAGCTGTCTCCACGAACACCTGTAGCGATAATAAAAATTTGGAAACTGATAAAATTCCTCCCCAAAATCAAGTCTGACTTAACTTTATGATGATATCTTGTAAACAATTTGTCAATAAATTTTGTGAAAATCCCGTTTATTTGGCACTATTAATACAAAATAATGTGCTTATGTAATCTGTCCTCTGAAAATTAGGTGTACTAAGTTTTACATATTCAATTTTTTTTGTTTTTATTATTATGTTATAAGTTTCTCCATACTTAAGTTTTTTGTTTTGGTGTAAATCGAAATGTGCGTTTGAACTAATCACACACGAGTAGTGACCGTGTATGGATGTTTTGGAAACGGCATACTTTCATTACACTGGGATTTTACAATATTGACTGGTTTTTCTGACACTACTATTCAATTCGAAGTCAGAATTTTGTGTTATTTTACAAAACCAAGGGTCGTATTTTATAAATTTGGGGTGTCACCTCTATTACACAGAGCATATAGAAGTAATTTCTAAAGTGTGTATGTGAGGGGTCAACTTTTCACGGTCATGGAGTTGGCGACAAATTGTTTCTTGAGAAACCCAAATGATTGCAACTTAAGCGACAACTATTCAAAAACAATCACATATGACCCTTGAGCGTTGCGTACTGTACTGTTTCTGTCTACAGATTGGTAGTCATACGTGAACTTCAGCAACAATCATGTGCATATCAAGGTAGTAAAAACATAAGTGGTGGTAGTGTCATGCAAAGTTTTCGAAGTGTATGTTCGAACTCACAAACTGGCGTTTGGTTTTTTACCTACTGTTGACAAAATTTTTCAGTCATACACGTTAAAGAATAACCATATAATCAGGTATTCGTGTACTTATGGGTACTTTAATCTGACTTTTCCTGTATTAATCAAGGTGCTGCGCGCTCGAATTGAGTACATCGAAGCAGTTTTGTCTTTAAGCGTCTCTATCAGTTCAAATTTGGCTGAGTTACTTTTATCAGATTTGATTGAGAAGGTTGGTGATACGAAAGTCGGTGACGTCACAAAAATTGCCATGACAAAATTGGCCGAGAAAACAAGTCTCGAATTAGTTGGTGGTTTTATAATGCGCACACTATTTCAGATTAAAAATCCTCGCAGTCAGACCGAAGGTTTGGCTTGGTTGAATCAAAGCATTCAGGAATTCGGATTTTGGTATGTATTTTTATATGCATGGTTGCTTATATTTACTAAATGAAAATCTCACAATTTGAAAATTATTTTGTTGCTAACCGAATAACCATTGTCCACTTCACAATCTGCTTAAATTATTATCATTAACTACAACTAATTCTTAACATAGCGGAGTGATCACAAATCCTGTATCCTCGAAACGACATATTAGACTGAACAACGCACTAGACGTATTACTCAATCGATGCATACAGTACGATATTATCAAACCATTAGACTAGACTGCTGTGTATACAGGTACACGAGAGAACCTGATTACAAGCCGATCAATAGCTTTATTAGCATATACAAGCAGTCCACCTGCTGCGAAACCCGGTTTAGAACTGAATCGTTTACCTTTAGCAGTAGTGTTTATAGTTAGCGCTCGTTTGCACCCTTGCCGCTGTTAGTAAATTCTCTTTTTCGTCCACCGGCTTTTACGGGGGTATCGTTCGTAACTCTTTGCTGCTATACGATTCGAACTTGTATTTAAAAATTCAGTATACGGTTTCGTTTTACATAGTTCTGCTAAGATTATCGTAAAGTATGGTACCCCTTGTCCAAAGTTTCATGTTAAATGTAAGTACGAATGTTCCAATATATCTATTTGTTGCTTTGAATTCTAAATTCTTATAATGTTCGGGATACTGCATATCAGTCGCCAATAAAAGGAGAAAATGAAACGGTTCGAAAGACGAGAAACATAAAATAGCATGCACGCCTTTAAAACAAAGAATAAAGAATCAAAGAGTGCTTTTGAGTTGGTGTCGTAGTACATTGCTCTACTTTGGTTAAGTATATGTAACCTATCTTTTCTTAAGATGTTAGAAAACAAATCTATGACTTTGTAGGTATCATTACCATGGTTTTGACTTGATAATTTCGAATAAATTGAGCATTGGGTAGATTGTTATAAATAAATAAGTATATTATGTCATAATATTCTTGTTATTCCGTTGTATTATTTAAACTTGGATTAATTTTGGTTTAGTTATTTATTCTCTGAAGAAATGGCTTACACTAAGTCACGAAACGTCAGAAAATCTAATTTTTCTACTCATTGGAATATTACAAATATATTATTTATTATCTATGACTTGTCCATAAATCTAATTCCACGTTTACTTACGGGTTACGTTTCATGACAACAATCGACTAATTCGAGGGATCTTTTCCCATTCAATATCGCAATCATATAATAAATAATGACTGAAAGCTTACCCCCAAATGCCCTGGTGCTGCCGAGGGTGGGGAGAGTTAGCTCTTTCTCTTGAAATGCTCTTACATAACCACACGTATACAGCTACTGCCAGGTAAGTCCTACTCACTGCCTTCTCGGGGCAGGGGTGTTGTTTACAAAATTGAGAGGACGAAGAGCGAATGTCCGACGTCCTAACCGGGTTTGTGAACACGGAGGATCTACTTAGGGGAGTTGGGAAACTTTGATTCCAAACCGATGGTGCACATGGGCTCCAGGATTCTGAAGGAACAGATGGTATATGAACCTATTGTTGGTCACCGGCTACCTTGGGACTGCATCTCCTAACGTTGCTCCACTGCCTAGTGGATCAGACCACCTGCTCCGATCTGGGCACCCGGGCAGTATCACAACCCACAAACGAACCAAGTGACTCGTGTGGCGCATATGTATTCGCTGCCCCTTTGTACCAATATTTATGTGTTCAAATAAATTGGCTATGGAATCTAGTTTCTGTTATAATTAATCGAATGTTACTTGTGTTTAGCATTTTTCCAGAACATTCTATCCTTTCTCCTTGTGCTTAGTAATTAAAGGCATAATTAGTGTTTCGACCTATCTTGTATGTAAGTTTTTCTATTCCATGATGTCCATAATTTTAATAGCTGAATATTCTTACCAAATTAATCCTAGATGCTTGATGAATTTGTTTAATTTATTTAGTATTCCACCACAAGAAGTTGGACCACTTCTAAAAACAGGCCTCAATGCAACTAACCCTTCTGTTCGTCAAAATTCACTAAATCTTGCTGGGACAATTCATTTATATCTCCATGATCGTTTGCCAGCTCTCCTAGCGGATGAGAAACCGGCTTTAATTACGTTACTGAACGCGGAATTTGCGAAAAACAAAGATAAAAAAGCTCCTGCTCCGACTCGTTTTTCTGCTGCCCAAACTCTTCTCAAAGAATCAGTGTCTGCTGAACCCAGCGGAACTGAAGCATTGTCTAGAGATATAGAAACTACCGGTCGAATAGAGGAGATGGACTCTGATGTATTACTTCCAAAAGTAGATATCAGGTATTCATTGAAATATGTTATATCATTTCTGCAGCTTAATTGATTTATTAGCTTTTTCGCACATTCCTGGTAGATAAAAAACTTTTCGTCATGATCTTTTACGTTTTGGGTTTTTCACAATTTTTTATGAATGCCTGTGTTTCCACTTACTCGTTGTTTTACCTGTTATTTTAGTATATGTACGACATCCAAACTATATTGTTTTTGGTGTGTAAATTTATATTTCCATATTTTTTAAACCAAATCGCCACGTATATCGTACATAACCGAAAAGTGGGTTGCGTATTGGAATAAATGTAGAGGGGGACTATGCTATCATGTGATTGCTGCTTAAATAAAATTCTCCATCTAACACACTTGAATGCTTAACGTGGACTAGTGGAGACCTTAACTTACCATAGGTTCTTCAGAATCAGATTCACCTTCAATGTCATCTGCTTCAATGACGCACATTTTTGTCGCATCTATGCTGTTGAGTGTCCGCTATTCATATTCCAGTTTCTTTTTTCAGTGACCGACTCACACCTGAACTCCTGGGACTTCTGAAAAGCAAGGTTTGGAAAGAACGTTTAGAAGCACTGACTACTATTGAAAAATTTATATCTCCTTCCCATTTGATTGATGCTTCAAACGGAAAGCTTCAAGAACCTTTGACTATGATAGCTAAAGCAGCTAATGATGTGAATAAAAACTTGGCCAAACAAGCTTTGATAATCCTGTCTTCCTTCGCTTCATCAATACCGAAATCAGACGCTGTGAATTACATAAAGTAAATATATGTTCTGAAGTCGTTTTTTATTTTTATAATTATATTCTTTTTTCCTCTTTTTTCCAACTTTAAAACACGCTGTATTTGACTTCAAAAGCTGCTACTACTACACTGTAAGTCTGAGTTACTCGTTATAGTAACTAATTGGACTCATACCATACCCTTATCACTATTATCAAGTTATTGGTCAGGCTTAGGTTTTTTGGGTACCCGGTTCTGTCACATACTTTCAACACTAGACTAATTATCTGTATAAGAAATGAATCCTAAGGCTGTACGATAAATTTTATTGCTCAATCTGACTGATTTTGTTTACAGCTTGTCCGTATTCTAGGTTGCCAGGCTGATTCGTGTAGTTCTTTCTTCGTTTTATATCTACAGTGTATCTTTACGAACGCTAACAGACAAAATAAGTTTGTTATAACCTTTACTAGTTTTTACGATAATGTTATCGTCGTGTTGGATTCTCAGTGTCTTGTTCCGGTGACATCTGAGCTTATCTAATATTGGAAATTAGTGTTTTCATAATTTAACCGCTATTGTCACAGGCCAAATCCAATCTACATCTGTTAATTGAATAAAAACTTCATACCATAGTTTATTGAAAGTTGCCTATAATTTTAAATTATTTTCACTGCTATCTTCATGTTATTTTCTACTGTATTTTATTACCAAATATAGTCATTTATATTTTGTACGATAATTAAAAATAATTGGTAATTTGTTGATTTATAATATTTGTTTCCATCTTTTTCTGTTTTCTGACAAATCATTTTGTCTTATTTGGATATTTTACATGTAAAAGATATAGTTTCCTCATTTATTCAATCAGTTAGGCAGTAGTAGATCGCCAATCACTTACCACTGACATCTTCATTCATGCCGGAATTTCATCGATCGGTTGTTTTGTCATAATAGTATCATGTATACACGTGAACTTTTTGTTAAGCAGACTAAATACAGTGATATAGATCACAGATCATCTTTTCTATATATTTGTTTAATAATTTTATTACTTTCTATAATCATTATAACTTTATTAGAAAGAAGATATGATTTATGGCAACATACTACTTTGTATGGTATAAAGAGAAATATATTCATCTATTTGTTTTATATTTGCAGTTTTTAATCCACGCCTCGTTGTTCTATATTCAGTTTGCTCTTAAAATTACTAAAGCATATATTTGTAATCTTCTGATTGATTCTATTGTCCTATATAGAACTGAATAAAAAATGTATGCTAGGAAACAGCTGTTTAAGAGCACTTGACCTCTAATTCAGTATTATTTGTGTACAAGTATTCAAACTTTTGTCGATTGATGTTGTACGTATCTGTCTTTGATCGTATCTAATATTGACAAACTTTTTAAATAAATGAAATGTACTCATTAAGACAAAGATAAAAAAGATGTTCAACAAAGAGTTCACTTTTTTGGCGGATTTCTTCTCAAAACAGTACAATCATAGTTATACTCTTTCTTTGCAGTAATATGTTTGTTAAAAAAACAACGTACTGTTTATAGTAACAAAATCGCAGAAAAAATTTTGTTCTTGGTAAGGAAGTGAAAGTGTGGTTATTAAGATCTTAAGAACAGATAAAGATTAATAATAATAAAATGAGGTTGCGTAACGTGATAAAATAAAATGTTGAAGTTAAGAAATTTTTAACACAATATGAACTATGCTAAGGTGTACTGTACAAAGCTTATTGGATTCTAACTGATGGCAAATAAAAAAATGTTATTAGGTTATTTCATACTGGTGAAGTAAGATGGTTTATCTTTTTTCAAGAATAATACATAAGATCAGTTGAAACATATCTATACGTTTACAATTTAGCTATACTCACTCTGATTCTGCAAAACCGGAAGCACAAATTTTATAATCTAGCAATCCTTTCAGAAATATTAACAGTACTGTTTTAACTAAGGCAAGTAGGAACTGATACCAAACTTTCCGAATTTCAATAACAATCGTATGTAATAAGCACGCGAATCCTCATTTAAAATAACTCAGTTTTCCTACAAATATTTTATTAACTTATTACTCAACCGATCTATTTTCTAGGTATGTTGAACCCCCTATTTTACTCTGTCTTGGTGATTCAAAAGTTCAAATACGTGAGGCAGCTGTAACTGCACTTAGCTCTTGGCAAAGTCGAGTTCCCATTTTATCAGTATTTGAAAATGACATGTTAGCTGATGCCTTAAAGGTAAGTATCGTTTCATGTACCTTTTATGAAGATAACCTGAGCCAATTTCGACCGAAACATTAATTACTGTTTACATTTAATCGTCACTAATACATGTATACTTGGACTAGTACATAAAAATATAAATGCTGACTGATGTATGTGAACTAAACTTGATTCCTGAGTCATTACATGTGTGTGTGAAATGAAAGATTACTTATTAGATTATAGACGAAGATAATTAATAAGATTTTAATGGCTCATTAAACTGTTCGTTATTGGTTTTTAAGATAATCATTCATAACGTTTTGTTCTATGTAAAGTTGGTTTATAATCTAAACTCTTTATTCATCTTTCTATTTATTTACTATTTAGATGGAAAATCCATTTTTACGAGCCGAATTACTACGTTGGCTTCAAGATGTTCTCTCACCTATGCCATTAAACGCCCTGCGGAAAAACGCTTCAGAAATAACAGAGAATCTAATACCTCAGGTATTTGCTTCTCTTGAAGATCGTAATGTTGAAGCTCGTAAACAAGCCCAACTAGTTCTTCCTTCATTAATACAAGTTTTTGGCTGGGAACCTGTCTTAAAGTCTACCAATCGTTTGAAGCCCACCTCAAAGGATTCAATTATGCCTCATTTGGAGAAAGCTCGTGAAAGTGTAGCTAATTCACATCCCTCATCCATGGAGAAAAAAACCTCTTCTCCATCTAAAGCGGTACGTGTAGGTAATGGAGCACCTCCACAACCTTCCTCAAATGCCCCAGCTACTACTCCAGGTATTTCTTTCATGTATTTTACAGGAAAATTTAAATAAGACATCCGTTTTTCACTGGATTATATGCTTCATAGAAAAGATTACCTTATCTATTTCATTCCAATCATTGAATTTTAGAAAATAGCGAGGAATCTGAAAATGCTACGCAATCTCCAGGCAATACCTCAAAGTCTGTTTCCGATACGAAGAAAAAGGCTGATAATAAAAAGTCTATCAACACGTCTAAAAAGTCAGGTCCGGAACTGGCAACGACATCCATAATTCTTCCGCCAAATAAGTCAGCTAAGAGTTCTAGGTTAAATGATGAGAAAAAACGCAAGGTAATGGTTCTGTATTTTTTTTTAAATAACCCTGTTCCATTTGTTGTTTATTGTGTCTATTTCCAAATATACACATTAAACTATTAACGTATTGAATTTTTATGCATGAAATTTGTAATTTCGAATTATATTTTGAGAAATATACATGGATAATATTTCAAGCATAAATTTGTGATACTCACTGAAAGCAATGAGTGAGAATATCTCTTGTACAACCTATGTAGTTAATGACAAATTTGACTGGATGATTCAGATTACTGAATGACAGCAAGGCTTCATAGTTACGCAAATTAGACTACTTAAAGTCAAAAAGTATGGAAGTATTCGATTATGTTAAATGTTCGGTTTACATATCCAGTGTTATTCCTATGAACAAATTGAATAGTCTTGATTAAATAACGTTTTGTTATCCTCTAATAAATGTAAGGTAGTTGCCCAACATCATGGATTGGTTAAGATTAGATATTAACTCCGTTGGGTGCCGGCTCAGTGGTCTATACGCTAAGCGTTTGCACAAGACCGAAAGTCCTTTGTTCGAGTTCCGAATGCGGGATTGTGGATGCACAATGCTGAGGAGTCCCATAGTAGGACAAACGATCTTCCTGTGCTTCCGGGTTTTCGATTTTAGTGTAATATTGTTCTGTTCATGATTTCAATGAAAGGTATACAACTTTTTGTAAGTCTTTACTTTCCGTTTTGTTTTTCAAAAACTCATTTTTTCTAATTTACAGCTTTTAAAATGGGATTTCGATGCTCCAACAAAAGATCACATACAACAATTAAGTACATTATTCACTGCAGCTGGAACCGCTCCTGAATTTCATGCACTTTTATTTCATACCGACTTTAAACAACACATTAAGGCGATTGAACAGCTTTCTCAATTACTAGATACCACTGAAGGCTGTGAGGCTACTGTAATAAATGTAGATATTATCTTGAGATGGATTGTTCTACGATTCTTTGAAACTAATCCAGTTGTTTTAGGCAGATGTAAGTTAATTTGATACTCCGAATATCAATTAAATTAATCTTCACCGGTACCCAAACTACAAAATAAGTTTTAATGAAATTTAATGATTTCATACTCTAAGTTATTCTTTTTTGTATATAACTGATAACTTTCCTATAAAATTGAATTTGTGCACAGTTGTTTGATCATTCTGTCAACTAATGACTAATATTTAAATCATCCAAATTATCAACCTATATTACCCAGTTAAAAGATACATTGATATAGTTGACTAAACTAGTTAACCATAGGTTGATCAAACATAATTGTAACGAGATAAAGATATGAATTCAGTCTACGAAGTCATTGACTGAATATATGAGTTATGTGTGGAAGGTATAAACTTCACTCGTAAGGTCCTTAAAATATTAATTACTCATTCAGTCAATATACTACAAATCTATTAACGAGACTACAATTTATGGACAAACTTTGAGCGACGCTAAAGTGACCTTGCTATTGTCCACCTACTAACTGGGACTAAATGACAGTTATAAAGCAATGCAAGGAATTGGAATTGTGATTTACAGTTGATGGTTAGAATTAGAAACTAGATTTAAGGTTTTCGTTACTGACTGACATCAGCTAAAATGCCAAAACGCCATTTAGCCAAATGGATGAATAAATTTCGCGCCTAAATTCAAGACCTGTTATCTTATATCTGATTGATTCTTCCATAAATTATAGTTTTGCCGATTTATCCATTACCTTCAAAATCTTACTCATCATTTACTTTCGTTTGTAAACTTTATATTCATTTTATTTTGGCATTTCTACAATTTTGTCAGTTTTTCGTTCTATGCTATTGCACTTTTATGAAATATTCTACAACCGTATCTCTGCTTGTATTTGTTTGGAGATACACGTTGTAAAGATTAGTCTAAAATAAGATGTTAATCAGGTCATAAATATTTCAGCTATCGTAATAAATATCACTGTGATATTTGTATTTGTTGTTCCTAAAACCTTGTAACAGCTATTTAGACTGAATTGTGTTTTATTCTCATTTCCTCTTTCGAATAATAAAGGTATGGATTATCTAACAAAATTATTCGTTTTTATGTCAGAGTCTGGAGCAAATCTTTCTGAACATGAAGGTGGTTCATTTCTTCCTTATTTGGTGATGAAAGTGGGTGAACCTAAAGATATAATTCGACAGAATATTCGAGGAATATTGAAACTTGTGGTTAATCTCTATCCACCCAGTCGTCTATTCACATTTCTCACTAATGGGACTAAGGCCAAAACAAGTAAAACAAGACAAGGTTAGCTTCGTTGTTTATGTGCGTTACATACGTAAGCAAGTATCATATTTAGTAATCATCTCTCACAGTTGCTTTACTGTCCTGTTGATTCTTAATTATTTTTGTTTTAGAGTGCTTGGATGAGATGGGTTCTCTGATTGATCGTTTTGGATTAAATGTTTGCCAGCCTTCTATTCCCGTTGCAATCAAATTGATCGCTCAACAAATTGGTGATCGTGATAGTGGAGTTCGATCAGCAGCTTTGAATGCCTTACTTTCTGCATATGCTGTTATTGGTGAACAGATATGGAAGGTTATCGGTGATGTAAGAGATTTCAGTTGTTCTATATTACTACGATGTTAAGTTGATCTTCATTCCATTTGGGAATATTGTCAACTAGTAAACTTATTTCTACGACGATTAAGCTAGTAATATAAATTTTTCGTACAGAAAGTATTAATCAAAAATACCAGCGAGTAAACTATTTTGGCTCAGAATCTTAACTCATTCCTCGCTTCACTCGGTATTATATTCTTGCATTAATATTTTCAGTTCCTATTTCTATTATATCATTAAGACAGTTAAGTTTCACTTGCTCCTTTTGCCCCTGATGGATAAGCAAAGGCCGCCCACCAGCATTCTCAGTCGAACTCTGTCCTGAACAATCTTTCCGGTTTGATGATTTCCTTAGTGTGTGTCCACCTCCAGCTTCTTTTCCTAATTCCCTCTTCGGTTCATTGCTGGTTTGTTCTCTACCACAGTAGGTCGTTGCTGATGGTTTGAGGAACAGTAAAACAGCTTAGCTGGTCCTGTTGTGTTGCTGAACTTCATTCCGTTCCCTGTTCCTAGGTCATATTTTAATCCATCTAAAATAGCATACTTGTGTACCATTGTAGTCATGTATTATCATGTTCTTCGTTTGTCTCAGATACCAGAAAAAGAACGTTCAATGCTGGAAGAACGTATCAAACGAGCTGGGCAAATACCGATCAATACTGTAGATAATTTTGAACCAAAGACACCGTCTGTAAGACCGAGCACTGCAAGACGGTATGTATTTTAAAGTTAACGTTTGTTATATAATCCTTAAATTTCAATCCTATTTACTTTTTTTCAATCGAAGGGTTATCTCTGAAATATTCCTGAATGTAGAGTACGACTTTGTTTCTGCCGACATCCTATCATAGTATCTTATTTTCGAGAATACTAGAAACTTATATGTGTATTTCCCTGCATAGTTCTATCATGAATTCATATAAATTAATCTGTCTGAGGTAGTAGTATTATAAGTAGTAATTCGGATTTGTTTTTGTTCCTTATTTTCCATTTTTATATCAGCGATCCATCAGATTCACGTAATCCTCTAGAGCCTGTTCCTAACGAATTTCGCCGTCAGCAACCGGTTTCTGCAGCTCATGCTAGAGCGCGTGCTATGTTAAATGAACTAGGTGATTTATCACCTGAGAAAGCTCCATGTATGCCTCCACTTATTCAGTTAGATGCTGATATAAATGATCTTTTCCAACCAGTTGAAATTCCAGCATTGAAGTGAGTATTCACAATGTTTTCTATTACTTTTGGTATTTTAATTCAAGTGAACAATTATCTTAATTTTATTCTTTTATATATATTTTACTGTCATGGGTTTATATCACTTTTAGAGCACACGTGCGCCAACCTGTTCTCAATGCACTGTTACGAACAAGTCCTGACACTGCTTCGGCGATCACAATGGTCGTAACGGCTATATCTTCCAATGATTTACTAATCAGTTGTCATGCTTTGGCCGAAATCGACACTGTTCTTAGAGGTACGGTTTTAATAACTTTCACATTTTTTCCTCAGTTATATTATCAATGTAAAATTATTTTATAATTTCATCGATTCTCCTCGCGGCTATGCTGTTGTTTACGAAATCGTGAGGACGAAAATCGAATGTCCGGCGCTTTAACCAGGATATGAAGGATCCACCTAAGGGAGTTGGAAAGCCTTGATTCCAAACCAATGGTGTACGTGGGTCCCAGGATCCTGAGACAACAGATGGTGTATGAACTAATTATTGGTCACCGGTTACCAAGGGACTGAATCTCCTAACGTTGCTCCACTGCCTTGTAGTTTGGACCTCTAAGTGAAAGGCTCAAAGAGTGGTCTTCTTAGAAAACTGTCTGCTTTGGTTTGGGCTGTCGGACAGTATTCCAGCCCTCACACAAATCGAGTGATTTACGTGGCGTGTGTTTAAATAATATTAATAATAAAACCTTCAGTGTTTTTAGTGACTTGAAGTTTGTCATGTTTAGATATATTGTTAGTCATATTGAGTAATTATTTATTTTTTAATTACACCATAACATATCTCTTCACTTTTAATAATCTAGATGAAAAGTGGTACCTTTTACTCAATCATGTGAATCAAGTCCTGATGCTTATTACAATGCAGTTACGCCAGGTTACTTCGCGATATTTTGGAGATCCTTCAGTTTCAGAGGAGCAATTGCATACATTAATTCGGTCTCATTTGGCCACTATCGAATCTGTAAGTTCAATAATCTTTACTTTTTTACTAAAGATATCTCAAATTAAAGTTTCCTATGTTGTCAAAAAACCATTAAGCTAGAAGTTAAGACATTAATAAAGCTACTTAACATTGGTCTGAGATATGTGTATTAACTTATGGGCTTCTTAAATAAACTGATTAATTTCAAAGCCATTTGTTGTAAATTCTTGACAATCTAGATAAAATCAACTTTGTGTACTTTGAATTTCGTTCAAATCTAAATGCTTGTTTATTTTATATTTCTATTATTGTGGATTCCCGCCTTATGAATGTTCTATGTTGTACAAACATACATAGGTACCTTTCTGTGTAACTTTTACTCATAATCTTTCTTGCCTTTTCCCTAAATAATCAGTGTTTTTTCCAAATTAACTTAAAAATTTAACTTACTGTCTTTTTACACAGCTTTTTAGTCGTCCAACATTAGGTCGCGAAGCTTCACGGGAAACTTTAAGAGAATTATCCCAGTCTCTCCTTCAAATGATGTTGGATGAAAGGACTGCTGAAATGTCCAGTGGAGAAAATGTTATCAGATCGATCAATGCATTATTTGTTCTTATTTTGGAGGCTTCCAATGGAACACGTATACTCAGGTATATTATTTACTTTCAGTTTTCGATAATATATAGTTATTTATAACTGTGAACTTCATCTACCAGAAATATGAGTATTTTCTCGGTTATACTTTGCTGTGTTTTTTATCCGCTTTACTTATTTCTATATCCATTGGCGCGGTGAGACCACTGGACTGTAGTAGTAATACTGTAATCATACAGTCCAAATAATTATAAACACGATCAATTTACCTTTTACGTATATTTTCGATTCATTACTGGTCTCTTAGTCCGTTTTCATGAGAAGCTATCTGTTCAATTCTATCTCTCCTCTATGAGATAATACTTTCAAAGTGTTTTTCCAGCTGTTATTGGTGCGTTCAGCATGCGTTATTGCATGATAGATATTTACCTCTACTGTTTATGCTATTTGTTTGCCAAGAATACTATTGTTTGCAGTGCTGTTGCCGTCCCAACTGTAGAAATGGTGTTTAATTAATTAATGAACTTGAATCTAAGGTGGTTTAGGCCTGCAGTGTCCGTTCAAGTAAAAGTATAATGTTATTTGTAATTCTGTTTATTCGCTACACAAATTTAATTCAATATTTTATTGGGAAATTAAACTAATGAGACGTAAAGATTAGATTGTTTGCAAAATTTATCAAAGAGTGATGTTTATTTTATATGAGTGTTTAAGTTAGACTTTATCGCTAAAGACAGATTTTTATAAAAACTTTACAATATATACTACTTATTTCTTTGAATTATTGTAGTCTTAGTACAATGATTGATTACACTTTACTAACAACTATTGAACTACTTCTTTTTTATGCTACAGTGCGCTCATTCGGTTACTACATGAATGTATCAGTAACGGACACTTTACAAATCGATTCACACAAGCTATCCTCAAAAGTATATGGCGTATTACTAAGGGGATGAATACTGCATGTAAGTTTATTCAACGTTGGTGCGTATAGTTGAAGTATTTCTCATTAGTGGTTGCTTGTCCTGATTTGATTTCAGACATGTGTTTTCTCAATGATATCAATCAAGTAAATGAAGGTTCTACACTTCCACCACCTTATCTCGCAAGATTTCTGTCTAATGTAAGCTACCTGGTATAGTTTACGTTTTACTCATTGATGTTGATCTAAGATTGAAGGTTTTTTGAAAGGACTTCAGTGTAATCAATCGCTTTCATGAACAACAACTCTCATCTCAAGTTTCACTACTAAACACTTTCACTTTTAACTTACTTTTTATGTATGCTAAGATTTAAACCATTTGCGGCAAACTTTGTTTTCATATTATGTAATAGTAATTGGTTGGCATAGATAACTATTACTAGTCTATGTTATTAGGTCTTAATTTCATTACATCAAGTGGAGAATATATAATCGATCAAAACGCATAACTTACATCCACTTATAACTTGATTGATTTTTAACAATATTTATTGTCAGAAATTTAAAACAATTAGTCCCTTTCATAAATTTCGATAGAGCAATGAGCAGACGGCGGCCTATGCTCCATTACGAGTAACAGGCGTAAGTAAATAAGTAAGTAATGAGCAGACGGAGTTTTATCTGAATAATATGATGTATCTGCGCTATACATTTCGAACAATCTAGTCATTTTTCTAGAAAGAAAATTCCTTTCCTGATATTTATGTTGTATTTTACTATCGTTTTGATCTGGATTGGGGATCACTTAGTAATTTGATTGGATTATACTCCTTGAATAACATCTTCAAACCCTAATCTTTCCTGTTTCTGCTTATACTTTTACTACCCCTACCACTATGGGATTTGAATCGACAATTATATCTCTCTACGTTGTTGCTGACTGACTCAATAATTCTGTCTTGTAGACAGTTAGTTGTTATGAATCATATATCACATCAACTAAAATGCGTACGTAGGAAATTCAGAACCATAATCTACAACATTGGTAGCATTGACCCTTTACCTTTTCATCACATTCGTGTGTGGTTTGTCAGACCTAACGTTGAACAACCATTGTCTTTACTTGCTGTTCTGTATGAACATCTGAATCAGCTTTCTACTGTTTTGGTCCGGGGATTCCAATTAATACTGAGTCACACTACTTATATCTGAGGTTAAAATATATATCCTTATTTACATGGTTCGGGTTAATAAATTTAAGAAATCGATAGTCTTAACGCACTCTTTTTGCTATCCAATTCAATTTTAAGAAATACTACATGCATTCATACGCTCCGATATGTTATAAAATATGTACCTATAAAAATTTGTTACTCCCATCGTAAGGTTTTTCGTTCGTTACCTACTTTATACAACTAAGTATGGTTCTTTTTTTCACTTGTTTGTGTGGATAATTTAATGTTCATGATCTGTTGTATTCAACCTCAGTATTTCTCTATTTCTGAAAGCAAGAATTAAACTACATACTGTTTTTTTTCTGTCGGCATCAGTTAATAATTACTCTGTGGATGTCATACTTCTGGACTGTCATCATTTTTTAAAGGCTTTCCCACCTTCCTCATGGAGTGCACGGAAATCAGATGTTCCTTTACGAACAATCAAAACCCTATTGCATGTATTATGTGGCCTCCAGGGTCCATCAATTTTACAGTTTCTAGAAAGTATACCTAATAAGGTAGGTATTTTTGGGCATTCGTATATTTTGTTATAGAACTTAAAATTAATCTAACCCTAAGCTACTTAAAAGCTACATTTTTAAATTCAAAATTTTTCAAGAACACGATATATTGTGACATTGCGTCTTTTGTGTGTCAACCCAGAAACAAAATTGGCATCCTCTCTTTGTGTTACTGTTTTTCCCCTAATTTCGACATTTCTTCATGAACATTTATTACTGAATAATCGTAGAAGAAAAAACCCCTTGAATATTTCTTAATCTTGGTCGGATTTTTAACCATTCTCGACTTGTAATAGTAAAAACTACTTCATTTTATTACTCTCTTCATGTATTGTTCAAATTAATTCAAATAGATCACGAATTAAAACTTTTTAAGCAATATGCCAAGCAATTTTTTATCACCTGAGGTCCAATATTAATGTATATTGTTGAGGCTTAATTTCCTCTATATCTGACTCCAATAAATGATATCTCGTTAACTGAGTACTTAAGATAGAATTATGGATTTACTCGAGATTATTCAGAAGCCTGAACACCAGTTGTAGAGATATTTTATTGTTAAAGATAAATAAAATCCACAAGCGTACAGAGAGCAAGCACACTGTGAAACCACGAGAGTGTGTGTGAGAGTTGAAAATCCATATATATTTTTGAGTGTCAATCAAATGTGGATAAATTATTGATTATCTGTATGTTACAACCAATAGGACAATAGATTAAGGTTGATGTGCAGACACGCGCTCAATCACACACACAGAAATTAACATAGTCTGAATTACAATGAGTAGACAAATAATACAATAGTTGAATGGGCTTGCTACAATATGTACTAAAATGTTGGTATTTCCTAGTGGATTGTGTATATGTCCATCCTAAATTCACGTCAAAAGTAAACTTGAATTTGTTATGGTTGTATATTTTTTAAACATCAGATTCTCATTCCATAAATCAAGTGGCTTTTCAATATAACCCTCTGATCCAATATAATCCCTACACTTGGGGAACTCAATGAAGTATTAAATTGGTTGGCTATACAAGGAGCAAGTTATGCTATATACTTCTGTTACTTAGTTTGTTTTGGTTCTCTGAAAGTACCAAGTAGTTTCAAAGTATCTTTAGAATGTACCCATACTTTTTTCCTTACTAATAGGAAGATTCAGAACTGGAGTCCTACCTCAATCGCACACTAAAAACTACTTCAGGAGTTACAACTTCCTCTGATTCCAAAAAAATACTGGCCTCTGAAAGTCATTCAAAAGTAAGCGGAATTTATTGTCTTCATATACACATAGATTGAATATTTTGTTATTTGAAAATATTGACTAAAGACTGTTTTGCGCAAATGGATTTGCTGGTTTTCCATATGTTGTCAAAGTAGAAAACATGAAGGTTTACAGTCAGCATAAATATAGATATTTCCTACTCAAAAATGTTTATCCACGATCCTCTCTGCTTTTGAGATTTTTTTATCTCCATTTACAATAAATGTCGAGAAGAGGTGTCTTAGTTTTCATTCGCAAATGGATCTTTACTGCGAAACTTGTTATTTTTAGCACGTTAAATATCTCTCATTTGAAGAATAACAACGAAAAATCTTATACTGTTTAGTACAAGCATTTTTAGGTGGTTTCGTTACTTTCTGTCACCATTTACATGTTTTTAAAGTGTTTTAACGTTTGGAGAATTGGTTTGTTTTAGTGAAGATAAAATATGATCAGTCACTGAGCTTGGACAAACATGCATAACCTACTGACTAATAAATATGCAATTCCTTTTTCTCTCATTGATTTCTACCCCGGACTCACTGAGTGTGACTATATTGAATAAAGTATTATCTAGTGTTATTCCGGTTCATGAATCCTGGATTCTGATATAACATGACTAATCTCATTACCTATTGTAGTATTATACCTGGGAGAAAAAAAAATATTTCAAGCCATCCGTCATATCAAGAATAAATTTTTCCGAGCAGCTATTTGCTAGTGTTTCGTATTACTAATGGTCGTATCGTGAGTGGAAGTCTGCGTAGATTGTTGAAAAAACCATTTTTTAGTAATTGCCTAAATGTACGGTGCTCGTATTGTGGTTTTTTAACTGATTGATCTTTTGTAATTTAGAAAACACTTATATTTTCATAGGGATTTGTACTTTCTACTGCAACTCGTGAGAAATTAACCGAAATATTCAAGAAGGTCGGATCTAAGAAACCTGATGAGGTAAGTACTCATTATTTATTTAACCGACTATCTTATGTAAGTATTTGAACAGTTGCTGGCTATATTAGTTGAGTTGATTGTTGAATTTAATGTTGTTGAGTATGCAACCAAAATAATCAAACGGATATTTACCCACTAAACCGAACTTCCTAATGCCCAGGAAATTTGAATATCGGAATACAGAACAGCCGATTAACTCACATCTTACTATTGGCTTGAGTTCTGTGGTGACCTATTTTCATCTATATGTAAGCTGTTGAGTCTCCTGAAATTCTATTACTATAGCACATTCCCATCATGTTTTTCTTAATCTAAACAATATCACAACGATAATCCTGTTCCAGTTGAGTAAATATTTTATTCACGTTAATTTTGAATCTAAAAAATATGTTGGTATATTGTTTCATTAGTTCATTAACATGTGCTATCTTCACGTTCTATTTTTCCGCCAGGGTTTAAATGAACTATACGATTTCACTCAGCTCTATCCAGATGTAGATTTATCGTCATACTTAACAAACACAAGCCAATTTTTCCAAGCCTACATAAAACAAGCTTTACGAAATATAGCTGTTGAACGCGCCCGTCAGGCTAGACTAAGTGTAAATGATAAAGAACCAAACACATTAGCAGCTCATCAAGTAAGTACTTTTTTTAGTTAGTCTCTTAAAAACTAAAAGATGTACTACGATCTTGTTGAGGGATTTGTTTACAAGACTTCACTCTTGTTGATAGTCTTCAATCTGGGACGTTTGCCCAGTGGTAAAGTCAACTCACGAGTTACCTATTGGAACCTTGCCCAGCCTACATCGATTTGAATAGACGGGGAAACCCTTAGTCATCATGGTTACATACGAACATAAGGTGAACGAAAAGAAGCAAACAATCACAACAGTGCACAGGAAAATGCGACTAAAGATTGGACGTACATACACAAGTCTGTTTTTGATTACCAAATTGGAAACCTTTGTCTCCAAAATCTCTTGTCCGATAGTAGAAGTTATCTTACTATCAGTTGTTGCTGAATGAAATCGATATTTGCTTTACTCACTTTAAACAATAAGCTCATAAGCTGTTATGCTTGAATAGATAAGTCTGAACACTGCGGCCATACAGTGAATTCCATAATTATGCTCTTTACCTATATATTGATATCATTGTGTGGATTCCAAATTTCGTGTCTAGTAAACTGTCCTTATTTTTTGACAGACTAATGGCATTTTAGCGCGTCCTAATTGGAATCCAGATTTTGATGCAGATATTTCTAATGGCCAACTAACTGATCCCAAAGTATTTATGAATCGATTGGCGATGCTACGAAGAGAACTGGGTCTTGGTGGTGTATCCACAACGAACATTGATGATAATATTGGGCCATCTGATGAAGCTGGTTCACAAAATACAGTCTTTGAAACAACTCTTCGAGTAAGTCTATTTCAAAAATAAGTAGCTTTGCAAGACCTGATTAGATTCGTGTGCATTTCACAAGTAAAAATGTATTGGTTATGCTTCTTGCACTCCCAAACAATCAACAAAAGCCAGTAAGGAAATACTCCCAACTGAACACAAAATAACAGGTTTCGACTAGGCACAATTGTCATAAAAATCACTTGATTCAATCGTCATTTATCGACATTGTTTGCTATCCTATTTGTTTAACTTTCAATATTGACTTAAATTTCTTCAATAGACGTTCATTTCTAAATTATCATTAAATTTGAACATGAATGTCACTGACTTCAAGTGTACAACAAATTTAAAAGGATTTGTATGAAGTCCACACAAATTTTACCCCAGTGAACTAGTTGCGGTTTTTAAAATTTGTTATTAAATAGTGTGTGTTGGTCAGACTTTGAACCGATGTTTACTAACAGTCGTGCAAATTAAGTTTTAAAAAAAAAATATTTGTACTGGCCTCTATTTGCAATTACAAAAACTGAGCTGAGTAAAGCTAAACTGAACCAGTTGCCATTATTTCTGAAACTTTTATGTAGAATTATTCTTCTCGTTCATATTCATTCGGATTCGACTGCTTATGTAGAAACATGTGAAGTAGTGCAACAACTAACATATAATTGTCGAGTGTCTGTTTGTTATAGCTTACTGTAGCAGTTTTGAGGTTTATTATCTGAGTATGCATGTAGTGTGATAGATCTTCGCTACGGTCTCCAACTGATCATCTGTATTATCAAAACAGTGATTTGAAATCGAAGTTTCCAGCAATAGTACAAGATTTATTGGTGATTTCTGATGAAGGATTACTTTTATTTATTTATTTATTTGAACACATATATATTGGCACAAGAGTGCGCCACACAATTTCAGTTCATTAATTGCGTGTGGGTTGCGTTACTGCTCGGGTGCCCAGACCGAAGCAGGTGGTTATCTTAGGGGGCCACACCCCGAGCCTTTGACCTAAAGGTCTAACCCACAAGGCAGTGGAGCATCGTAAGGAGATGCAGTCCCATGGTAGCCGGTGACCGAAAATTGGTTCGTACGCCATTTGTTCCCGCAGGATACTGGTGCCCATGTGCACCATTGGTTTGGAATCCGGTTAAAGCGCCGGACATTCGCTTTTCGTCCTCTCATTTTCGTAAACAACACCCCCGCCACGAGAAGGCAGTGAGTAGGACTTCCCTGGCGGAGGCTGTATACGCGCGGCCGTGTGAGAGTATTTCGAGAGGGAGGGCGAACCCACCCCGCTCTCGGCCATACCAGGGCGTTTGGAGGCAGAAGGATTACTTTCGCTGTTCACATATAGAGATTAACTTTAAATTATGCATAACAAATAAAATTTTATTTTTCAGAATATGGTTCAACCAAAAGGTGATTCTCCTGATGAAAATGTTCGACCTGAAACAGAACAAAGGCCTACTATGTCCACCACTGAACTAATGGATTTGAAACGAAGACTAGATCGAATCAAAAGTGCCCAAAAGCATTAACATTTGCTTTGCGTGATAAAGTAGTCTTCCAATGCATCTAAACTTCCAATTATTTACGTTCACTAACTTCTGCTTTCCATATGTAAATATTTCTTAGAGGTTTGTTATGAGATTTTTATGTCCAAACTTTTACGTACTACACAAAAAAGTACGTAACTAAATATACATGTGATCTTTAACTAAATTGTCTTTATGCCAGTAAACATTTTTTACAGAAAAAGTTAATTGTACAAATTTACTGTCTATCAATTAAATATATGTTTAAAATTCATGAAATTAATTAAAGGTTTGGAGACTATAATTGCGTACTTGTTTTGCATTGTTCATGGTACATATGCATAAATTCATCTAACCGATCAACGATTACTCCAGTCAAGTTAAGTTGTGATGCTTTTCTATAAAAACGGATTTCAGACACACCATCACCATACACAAAACAGGATAGCTGTTTACTCTCCAAATCCGCTTCAAGATATTTGAGCTGCCTTTCATCCACATCATTTGTCGAACCGAAATGATATCCCACTGTAACAATCCCATTTAAGTTCATTATATGTGCCCAACTTATTGCAGAGAATATGTTGTGGTGTCGTGGATCTGACTTGTGACTACTATCATTTGGACAACCACCACGGGAAATAAACAAGACTGGAAAAAAAGATTGCTTTAACCTTAAAGTTAAGCATACGTCAGGGTTAAATGAAGATAGTATAACGTATCTGGGTCCAGCATGTAACCATATTGTCTGTTAAGGGAAAAAACAATTGTTGTTATTGTTTGATGAATAGTACGGGTCGTAGGGAAACTGAAAAGCACCAAAGGTTAATTTCATTTTTACAATAAATTGTGCGTATCAACAGATCAAAACAAAATTTTATCTTGAAATCACAAAGACTAGCAATGAAATCATTTGATATGAATTAAGCTTAACCAGCATTTTTTTTCCTGACACGCGATTCAGTGTGCTAAGTGGTCTATCAACCAATTGTATCTAGTGTAACTTCGAATTAGGGACTGTTTGAAGTGGGACCAACCTTTCGACCTCTCAGGAAGCACTTACTAATCTTGTGGCTGCTGAGTTGGCATCCAAAGGATGATGTCTATAAGTTTAGTTAATTCGCGATATTCGGCAAGTATCAGTCTGGACCACTGTTTTTGTAATTAAATTAACTCATTTAACAGGTACTTGGGTGTGAGCCACACTCCAAGCGTGAGGGGTAATGATGGTACCCAATCGCCCAAACTGATTTAGGTGGGGTGGGGTTCAAACCCTTGTCATTAGTAGTATTTCTTTTACGTTGAGCTAGATTGGATCTGTGGTCACAGCTCCTCACTTGAACTACATTCAGAACTACCTCTCGTAATCACTAGTAAACATAATAACCTTTATTTAAGGTTTTTTATGAAGACTGTTGCATTTGAAGTGTCACAATGATTTGACAAATACGTGAATAAAATTTTTATTACATCTCGCCACTTAATTTCCCAATAAGTTACGAGACATTAATTTAGTAAAGTAGATTTTCGAACTGATGAAATAAAAAAATCGAGTTTATCAGTCGCTTGGTACTGATTTATTATGGGGTGTAAAGGATTATCAAAAGTCACTTCTATTATGCTCACCAGTGACGAAGTGTTCTCGAAAGAAATCGTCAGTCGTGATGGGGATTTTCGGCTCAGGGTGGTTTCCTCTGAGCTTCAAAATTTACTTGTTATATCTTTTCAGACCAAATAAAGATATTTTAACGTACTAAATAAAGTGATAAGAATCTTAATCGCTGAAATATTCTGTAAGGTCTGCTGTACCGAGACAACAGACTAAATAAATAACATTTTAGAGAAAAATCCGAGATATACTAAATTACTTACATCTAATATTGTATCACAGAATTTGTTGATCTTATAGAAATATGAGGACGGTGTTGGTAAAGAAGGTTCGACAGGTTTATGTTTAATTAATGCTTCAGCAATTAAATTATATGGCGTTTCTATGGGATATTTTAGCTCTACGTTAAAGCTTAGGTTTGTGGAAGTTTGGTAGAATGCGTCTTTTAATAACGGTATTGGTTCAGCCTCTTTACCATGAATATTTGGAATAGGATCACTCATTGTTAAGGGACTAGGATACTGACTTTGGATAATGTTTGCATTACCGATCGTTCCATTGACCTTTCTCAACAAGTTGCGAATTCCAGATAATTGGTAGTTCACAATCAGATCTGTGCTATTTTCATTTACTACACCATCAGCTTTAAACGTAAAAGGTAGGACAACTCAGATAAAAATTACAAACAAGCGCTGGTGAAAAACGACTTTAAAAGGTACACGAAACAAAATCCCTTTCGTATTTAAAGGTTTCTACTATAATCACTATTGCTACAGTTTTTTCTCATCTCTTTTGCTGCTTTCATTTTCAAGGTGAATCGGGTGAAAAAGATTGCTTTCATTAATCCTGTACCAGAGGGACAAAAATTGCTATAGATTCATCTAATTAACTTATTTAAACCAGGTTAAATAGCGTGCTGTTAATATCACGTAAAAAATGCAAACATAGACCGTAGAGACCATAGAGAAGTTTCCCTAAAGATAACACTGTTTAAGCAATAGAAGTGTGGACCGTGTTACTTTACGTTGGTCTTTGTACTTCTTGTTGAATATATATGTATGTTATAGTATCAAAAACAACTTAAATAGATAATAAAAAAGGTTCTTCCTCAGGCTCGTCAGACGCAGTATTTATTTGATAAGTAAAGTACTTTCAGTTTACTAATCCACATTTTTCGATGATCTGATGCTGTTGCAATAAGTTATTGCTACTTCTTTATCTAAGATAATTTGGACTCGACACTAATAATCCTCAAAAGAAATTACAGTTTAACCAGTAAACTACAGAGAAACTAACTTACTTTTATGTTCTAAAATGAAAGTTGGTGGATCGTTTTCAGATTTTCTCGGTTGCTCACATACTCCTAGTGTGAAGTTGTGGTGTAAAACGACTTCAGAATCTTTTGTGATATTTGCATCACATTCCACCATTGTTACTCCAAGTTGCTCAGCACGTCGAAAGGCGCATATTGTGTTCTCAGGCCATTCAAGCCCTTTACCATGATGTGCACGTTTTACACCAGCACCAGCATGACCGACTATGATTGGTTGGGAGATTGCATTTTGATGCAGGGATGAATTGACTGGAGGGAGGCACAAGTAGAGAGGTGTTCTGTGGTCTGTATGAAGTGGTTTGTAGCCAAATATAAACAGATAGTACACTAAATGTGAAAAAAAGTTAAGAAATATTTTAACAAGGATGAATCCATGATAATTAGTAGATACATTGACAGAATATTTCTCGAAATTTCGTGAGTAGTTCATCTTAAAATGTCGCTTTTGATATGCCTTTCGTATTATTTGAAAACCTAGAACAAGACTGATGCACTACACAAAAAACCTAGATTTATATAGCATTTAAATTACAACTGAACAATCACATCATCCAAAAGTGAAATCTACTATACGGTGGGGAAGGTCTCACGGAAACTGTTAATTAGTGTACAGTTAGTTTCCATCCTTGCATAAATGTAGCGGTTTTACCTAAAACATGCAAGTTTGATACCACTCAACAAAACGTGATGTTTTGATGCTAGAAAGTGTGTGATCGAATGAAACGTAATGCTGTTGCATGATAACTTGAAGTCTCAACTCCTGCATCTGTTCCAAATATGCAGACGTCGCCTAATCACGTTAAAGTAGTTTATTTTGATAGTAATATCTTTCAGTTAGTGAAAGTAACATCAAAAGCAGTTTAACATAAATACCAAATGAAAAGTTCTCAGTAAACACATCTTTGTGATCGAACAATTGGTTTAGTAATCTAGTTTTGGCATATTCAACACCTAATTGTCAAGAAATTATTGTAGTAATTACTCACGGTAAATTTCATCCAAAATTCCGCTAACTGAAGAAACTGGAAGACAAAGTAGACCCTGGTCATCGTGGTAATCTGGACGTAAAGTGAATGAAACACAAGATTTTTCGGAACCAGAAACAGTTTCTAATTCTAAATCAACAGACTTTAGGGTAATTTAATAGGGTTTAAGATGTTACCAATGTAGAACTCATTGATGAATTACGGTCCGAAACAAGGAAACCACTGGCTGCGTGTGGAGTTACAGGAATCCATCTTTCCTTATAAGAAGAACCTTCAACAGACCATGATAAAGATGGATCTACACTACAAGACTAAAATTAAAATACATATTGCAAAAAGTTTAGAAAATGTATTTATGGTACCAGTATAGTCTTCACTCGGTTAATGAATATTATTAATTTAATTAACTAGTAATTCTGATAGCCAATTTTTCTCCTGTTTCATATCAGAATGAATCACAATAGTAGTAATCATAGAAGAAACACAACACCTAACGTGACTAAATTATTTGGAAGCTAATCACTAACATTAGCCACCTTAGTATCTTGAGGTATCCTGGTTTATTGTCGGTCCTAAGCCCAAAGAGAGGAGGGTTAAGCACGTGGTCAGAAACCCCATCCGGTAGAAAACAACCCTAACAACAAACGTTTGCCAGAAAGTCTTATAAAGCATTTAAACTATGTCCTGAGACTTGAAGAATATCTATGTAGGAGGATTATCACGCCTCATTCTTCGTCAGTCACGAGGTCGACGCCCCTTCTAAAAACCACAGCAACAATGAATATAGGTATATGGGACGTACGCACAACGTGAGAAACCGGGAGGCAATGACGAGGTACAACTTGGCGACGATCGGAATCAGTGAAATCCATTCGACCCAAGCTGGATAGAAAAGGATAGATTCGGGAGGGATGCTGCTGTAGTTCGGTCACGAAGAGGAAAATGCTTCAAGCACTCAGAGTTATTCTGGTGCTGTCCAAAGAAGCACGACAAACAACTATAGGATGGGAATCTCATGGATGAGCAATGATCAGAGAATAATTCAAAACAATGAAGGGAGTTACAATGAATGTTGTCCAATGTTATGCACCCACCAATGATAACAACGACGACGATAAAGGTGTTTTATGAGGTTGCAGTCGATCGTAGAGTACTGCCTATGATCTGACCATCGTGATGGGAGAACTAAACGCCTAAGTCGGGATGGTCAACACCAGTTATGAAGATATCATGGGACGACATGGACTGGGAGAAACAAAAATGGTGACAGATTTGCAAATTTATGTGCGTTCAATAAAATGGTTATAGGCGAAACAATATTGCCCATACCTGCATACACAAAGCTACATGAGTCTTACAAGATCACGCTACAGAGAACCAGACTGATCATATTTGCAACGCTAAAAAATTCAGATCAATGGAAGAAGTGAGAAGAAATAGAGGAGCTGGAATAGCTTCAAATCATCAATTGCGTGTGGTCCAGATGAGGCTGAAGTTAAAAAACCACTGGACAACTGAAGAAACAGTATTACAAAGGTTCAATACAGCCTTTCTTCAAGATACTGACAAACTCAACTAATTCCAGATAGGTCGCAGCAACAGGTTCCAAACCTTACAAAATCTACTCACAGAACAACTAGAGATTGAAGCACAAACTTCAACGTGCTAGGCCGCAAGAAGAACCATCACAAAGAATGGTTCTATATAGATACCCTAAGCAAGATTCAAAAAAGTTGCAAGAGAAGGAGATATGATACAATGAAGAAATAAGCAGGGAAATATTATAAACCCGAGCGACCAGACAAGGATGAAGATGCAGACAATCAGTGTAGCAGCAGCCTCTGCAGCAATAGGCCTCAACATACACAAGGCAAAAAGCAACATCCTCAAATACATCACACAGGACACCAACACAACCTCACTTGATGGAGGAGCTCTGGAAGAGGTGGAAATTATCATGTATCTGGGTAGCACCATCGATGAACAAGGAGGATTCGATGCAGGTGTGCAGGTGAGGATTGGCAAAGCAACAGCCGCACTCATACAGTTGAAGAACATATGGAACTCAAAACCACTGTCAACCAATATCAAAGTGAGAATCTTCAATACGAACGTAAAGACAGTTCTACCGTACGGAGCTGAAACTTCGGGAACTACCACAACCGTCATTAAGAAGGTACAGGTATTTATAAAGCATTCTCTTCGTAAAATACCGAATGTCCGTTGGTCGGATACCATCAGCAACGAACTACTGTGGTAGAGAACAAAGCAACTTCCAACTGAAGAGGGAATTAGGAAAAGACACTGGAGGTGGACAGGACATACATTGAGGAAATCATCCAGTTGAATCACGAGGAAAGCCCTGACTTAGAGTCATGAAGGTAAACGGAAAGGAGGAAGATTGACGAACAGATTGCGTCGACAATTGGAAGCAGACATGAAAAGAATGAATAGGATCTGGAAGAACTGGAAAGGATTGTTCAAAAACAGATTTCGATTAAGAATGCTAGTTGGCGCCTATCCTCACCCAAGGATTAACAGGCGTAAGTCCTGTACACATAACAACAGCTCAAGAAAACTGTACAATACCTTGTTGTTACTTCTTTTGTTTATAACTCCTCGATTATATTTTTTGAGCATAAATAGTTTTACTTCGTTCAGTAGTTTTGAGATCTAGAATACATACTTGTGCCTCTGTTTGAGCAACCAATTAAGGGGAAATAAAGACGATTTATTTACCGCTACAAGGGAAATGTAGCTTTTTCGCCTTCACGTCGGTTATTTAGGGGAGCATGATTTATGAGCAATACTACCTACGGACATACTCTTTATAGTATACTTATTCGAAACAGTAAAGCGAAGTTATTTCTGTGACTAAACTGACAAATTGAATCAGTCAGTCAGCCAGTAACAACGTAGAACTTCGTACGGACGTACATCAGTTCGAGTTGCCACACCACATTAGCACAGAGATACAGTGGTCGATTCAAATCTCGTAGTGGTAGAGGTAGCAAGAGTATAAGCAGTAATCATGAAGATTAGGGTTTGGAGATGTTATTTAAAGAGTATAATCCAGTGAAACAAATTTGGAAAGAGGAAAAAAGGGACATGAAGAATTCAGAAGATTAGAATTTGGGAGAACACAAAGAGTGGATGCACCTGCGCCATTGCAAACGATTTTGAGCCATGTCATTCAGGGTCTCTAACCATCGGTTGCTATCATCTCGCGGTCCCCAACCAGGTAGTCTACACCTACCAACATGACTCAGGCCACTTGTCAGTGACTTCATGGACTTGTGCCATGTTTTGGTTTGGCCACCCCTAGCTTTCTTCCAACCTACTCCTATACCACTGAACATAGCACGTCGAGGCAGTCGGTCGTTGGGCATACGTAACACGTGTCCCAGCCATCTCAACTGATCAAGTTTCACTACTTCATCAATTGATTTGCCATCCTTACCTAGTACCCGTTTCCTAACAACTGTGTTACTTACTCGATGGTCCCATGATATATGAGCAATGTTTCGAAGACACCTATGATCAAATACTAGTAACCTACGGATATCCTCTACTCTTACCGGCAATGTTTCACTGCCATAAAGTAGGACGGAACGAACTGCTGCGCAGTAAACCCGTCCTTTGGTTGATAGACGGATATCTCGCCTACGCCATAAATGACGCAAGTTGGCAAAAGCTAGTCGAGCCTTCTGTATCCGTGCTGAGATTTCGTCACACACCAGACCACAAGGGCTGATGAGACTTTCCAGATAAGTGAAGCGGTCGACACACTCAACTACTTCACTCCCTATCACTAGTTCGGGTGTCGATGTAACCCAATCCTGAAGCAACATTTTGCATTTCGAGGGAGAGAATCGCATCACGAACATGCTTGCATTGTTGCTTAGAGTGGTCAGAAGACTCTGCATTTTGTCAGCGTCTTCGCCAAATAAAACTATGTCAACAAGTGAACCTCCCGGTAGAAGTTCAACCCCTGGAAATTTAGATGAGGAGAGTGTTATCTCTAAAAGTATGTCGACCACAAAGTTGAACAAGAATGAAGAGAGTGGGCAGCCCTGACGAACACCACTTGAGGTGATCAATTCTGATGACAGTTCGCCAAAAGCTCTCACTCTACCAGTTGTGTTCGAGTATTGAATAGGGTTAATATACGCAACATCCTCTTGAAAAACTAAATGCACAAAGACGAGGTTATTAGACAAAAACCTAATAAACCTACGCATTTATCTTCGTACATTATCTAGAGCAGAAAACTAGTGGCATACAAAACCTTTCAGGAATTCGGACTGGTTCGGAGCGAATCCTTCAAGTTTCGAAAAGTTGATGAACAACACGGACTTACAAATAGCATTAGTTTATCGAAGGCATCAACCTTTTCTATACCCATTTCCAAAGATCTAACCCGCATCTTCTGGAACACAGAATTTTTTGAATTGACCGAGTAAACGACCACGGCTACATAGGATTTCATAATTATATAATATATGATATCATATAGCAGTAGGAGTGAAGTTATCGGGATGTTTCGTTTTTAGTAAAGGCTTCCGCGTTTATTACACCTTTTCTGAAAATAATTTAAGATACAAAACATAGATAAACTTGTGAGATCCACTAATAATTCGTTTTATATATTTCGCATTGAATGGTGAGAATACGATGTCTCGCTAGTTTCTTCCAATTAATCCGGCCTTCAGTCCACCTGATTTAATTAAAATCACTTGTACCCCAAGGTGAATAAATATATAAATTATGTTATCACATTACGACATATCGCCACAGGAAAACGTCGGCAACACTTCAGGGGTGTAGTCCACTGATAAAGGTTGCGAGCACTTGAAGGTCAAACTGTTGCAAGCTGATTGGTGCACCACATCGACAATTCGTGAAGTTTGTCAGAAGCGGTCAAATCAAGACATTTTGGATTGAGTTCAGCCACACCATGTCTGATAACGTCCATCCTACAAGTAACGAAGACGACATCATCGTGATGATGCATGATATAGAACGAATCTTCAGTGATATTAAGTTATTTTGACGGTTTACAAGTTGGGCCAATTTTGAGACGTGTTTGAAATAAGTACATAAGGTAATATATCCCAAGCTGCCAGCCTTGGGGAAATTTTGGGGAAATCCCCAAAGTGTAATAGCCTTCCCCAATGTTTGGGGAAATTTCAGGGTTTTCGTCTCATTTCCCCAAAATTTACTATAGCAGCTTCTCCAAAATTGACCAAATTTTCCCCAAAGTTGGCAGCTTGGGATATTATCTTATCATATGACTTCTGTGGTTAATAATTATTTTTGTAGTAGACGCATACTGAGTACGTTATGTCAGTATGTAAAAAAAACAGTGATGACCCAACGCTAAAGTATTTTTTCGTGAAATATGTCTGTAGATATAGACGTGAACGCAGTTCGTCAGAGTCAGATGCTTGTGTTCAGGATGTAGATGATGACAGTGATCATCATTCTTCCGAAGAGCATACAACTTCTAACTCGCCACAGCAACCTAGACAAAGAAGACGACGTCGGTCATCTACGTATGCTTTACTTCAAATGAATTTATCCTTCAGGTCGAAATATTGCCATTGTCAATCTGGATTTTGGGTCCGTGCAGTAAATGGTGAGCTGAAAGTCACCTCTATTAAAACCAGGCACAACCATCCTTGCACAGAAGGATATATTTCTGTTTACCCATCGAGACGACAGTTGACGTCAAGTGAACGCTTATATTTAATAACGTTTCTATTGAGTAATGCGCCGACTCGTAGCTTACGGCATCTGGTTTCTTGGAAGTTCCGTAACCAGCTTACCAAGGACGATATCGCCAAATGCGTTCACAGTTGTACCCAAGTTGTTGAACTTACATTGTAAGTAATTGAGTTTAGATACTAAAAGTATAAATGACATTTTACAGCGCGTTCAAGCAAACACTGAAGTTAAAGTATTCAGTGAACGTTAGCACATGTCTATGGTTTGCTATCTGAGAGGTAGTATGTAGTGACTCGACTTATCAGATCAACAAAGTTGGGTAAATAACGATTAGTAATAAATTTATCATAAAGTCTTCCACTGTTCCAGCTAGTGATGACGTATAGTCTTGGGCAAAGACACACTGTTATGTATGCTATTTGCAGGCAAGAATGACGCGAAAATGTAAAAAACTGTTGGAATGCTTTAAAGACATAACGTGTGGTACTTATGATACACGCATTTTCGTTATGTATTCGGCAGCGACCGAAATTCCAGCAGTGAAGTCTACGTACAGTCATTCTAACGTAGTACTTTGTTTATTCCATGTCTTAAGAACATTTTTCAGGAAAGTATGTGTTAGTTGTACAAATTATTTTCTGTAGTTCCGAAATTCTGATGTATGCAAATGCTTGGAACATCTCGTGAAGACTAGACGGTCTGACATCTGAGCTTCGCTTTTCATAACGCATTATATTCAGATTCACTCAGAAGTACGAACATCCAAGAACCCATTTCCCTCGGGCGTATGATTATATAAAAGATTACTGAATTGCCCGGAAGTCAATGTGGGCTTGCTGTTACAGCGAAATGTATTAAGCCTAGGCAACCACACAAACAACCGTGTCGAAAGTGCTCATAAACACATAAAAGAATGTCTCAGAAGACGTGATTCTTTGTTATTTACGTTCAGGGAAATTTGGAGTAAAACAGACACTGACCTACGTTTGCGTTCATTTGACGCTGTGAAGGATCTTCAACGCTGACCAATTCTTCAGGTAAGAAATATAGTCTAATGTATCATTAATTCCAGGTTCCGATGTCATTTCAAATTCTTTTAAATGAGTTGACATCTCTTGCAGCTAAAATTGTAACTGAAAATTCTGTATGCACATTCTAGGGATCTAATTCGCGGAGGTAACTGTTTTTTTCACTTTAAGATTTCTAGACTTATTTCGGCATAGCAGCCGGTGGACAAGTAAATACATAAAGTTGCTTGCTGGTTAGCAGTAAAACTAGAACCGGTTCGTCGTAGATTAGCAACATATACGCTAAGAAATTCATTCCAATTTGCTGATAGACTAAATCATACGAATGTTGCCGACAAGTTCATGGTCTCTTTTGATGTAACATCCCTGTTCACCAATATACCACTTTTTGAAACTATTGATTTAATTTGTCAAAATGGTGATCTCCTACCTTTAACAGCCCCAGAATTCAAAAAACTACTACTGATGTGCACAACAGATGTTCAATTCCAGTTCAATAACACCATATATCGCCAAATCGATGGCATAGCAATGGGAAGCCAACTAGGTCCAATTATGGCAGATATTTTTATGGGTTATCTTGAAAACACGGTACTTAAGCAGAAAATTAGTGAAACAACGGAATACTCCAGATATGTGGACGACACATTTATTATCTATACCAGTAAACAGTATGCAATCCACCTGCTAAAACTTTTCAATAACGCTCACAATAACATACATTTCACTATGGAGCACGAACAACTCCGCCTGTAGCTCTTCTAGAGTTACTGCCGGTCCCAAGCCCGGGTAAAGGAGGAGGGTTGGGCATGGGGTTAGCGTCCCCATCCCGTAGAAAACTAACTCGCTAAAAAAACGCTTACCAGAAAAAATAATTCAAACCATTTTAACTCTGCCCTGAGAGTTAGAAGGTCTTCATTTAGAAGAATTATGACGCTTCATGGTGAAAGCCGAGTTCCTTCGGAAGTCACGAGGCCGATGCCCCTTCTAACAACCATAGCAAAAATTTTTATAGGTACATGGAACGTTCGAACAATGTGGGAAACCGGGAAGACCAGTCAAATAGCAATGGAAATGAGGAGATACAACTTAGCAGTACTGGGGATCAGCGAAACTCACTAGACACATAACATAACAGAAACATTATAATATTAGATTATATAGTACAGACAATAGTAACAGAAGAGTATATGTGTAAAAATAAAAAAGCCGCGTAAATTTTTAACAAGCAAATGATGGATTGTTTTGTGAATGGACTAGGTCAACCTAACTGTCTTCTTTACAATAATTACTAAAACTTATGACTTTTAGGATATTATGAATATAACGACAATATCTTCAGATTCCTGTAGATGATGCTTAAGTATTTTGTCCCCCAAAACTTTAGTCGATGTTGTCACAGTAAAACTATACACAATAAAACGCAATCTTCACCATATTAACCACAGTAAACTAAAAACAACCTATGAAGTTTATTGCGAAAATCCGATTCGGTAAAAAACCTAAGAACATTTCCAACGGCTTAAAGATTTGTCTCTGTACTGTTTAGTTAAACCTAGGAAAAATAATTTTAGTAAATTATTCTTATACTCATTTTTTTGTCATCGTTTTGCGGATTCATCGTAATTGGATTTCCGATTTGGATTTTTCACTAATACTCCGGAACTTAGAATCCCGTAAAATAAAGGTGTATGTGGGAAATACTGGGGATCAGCGAAACTCACTGGACCCAAGCTGGACAGAAAAGACTAGCTACGGGAGAGATGCTGCTATACTCCGGTCACGAAGAGGAAAATGCTCCACACACTCAGGGAGTTGCTCTAATGCTGTCCAAAGTAGCACGAAATGCACTTGTAGGATGGGAATCCCACGGATCCAGAATCATCAAAGCATCATTCAAAACAAAGAAGGAGGGGATCTTAATGAATATTATCCAATGTTATGCACCCACCAATGATAGCAACGACGACATTAAAGATCAGTTCTACGAGCGGCTGCAGTCAGTCATTGAGAAATGCCCAAGAAAGGACCTCACCATTCTAATGGGAGATCTAAATGCCAAAGTCGGAATAGACAACATCGGATATGAAGATATTATGGGGCAACATGGACTGGGAGAGAGGAACGAAAATGGAGAAAGATTTGCAAATTTGTGTGCATTCAACAAATTAGTCATAGGAGGCACAATATTTCCACACAAGCGTATACACAAGGCTACATGGATCTCACCGGACCACACTACAGAGAACCAGATAGACCATATTTGCATCAACAAAAAATTCCGAAGGACAATGGAAGATGTGAGAACCAGGAGAGGAGCTGACGTAGCTTCAGATCACCACCTAGTTGTAGCCAATTTGAAACTGAAGCTAAAAAAGAACTGGACAAGTGGACAAACAGCAATACAAAGGTTCAATACAGCCTTCCTTCGAGATACTGTCAAACTCAATGAATTCAAGATAGCTCTCAACAACAGGTTCCAAGCCTTACAAGATCTACTGAAAGAAGAAGAAACTACTATGGAGGACAACTGGAAAAGCATCAAGGAAGCATTAACTTCAACGTGTCAAGAGGTTCTCGGTCTAAAGAAATACCATCATAAGGAATGGATCTCTACAGAAACACTGGACAAGATCAAAGAAAGGAAGAACAAGAAGGCAGCAATAAACAACAGCCGAACACGAGCAGAAAAAGTCCAAGCACAAGCTGAATACATAGAAGCAAACAAGCAAGTGAAGAGGAGCATTAGAGCTGACAAGAAGAAATACGTGGAAGAATTAGCAACGACGGCAGAAAAAGCTGCTAGAGAAGGAAATATGAGACAACTTTACGATACAACGAAGAAACTAGCAGGGAAATACAATAAACCAGAGAGGCCGGTCAAAGACAAGGAAGGCAAGCGAATCACTGAAATTCAACAACAGCGTAACAGATGGGTAGAATACTTTGAGGAACTCCTGAATAGGCCGGCTCCTATGAATCCACCGAACATCGAAGCAGCACACACAGATCTTCCTATAGATGTCAACCCACCAACGACGGAAGAAATTAGAGCGGCCGTCAGACAAATCAAGAACGGGAAAGCAG